TTCAAGTTTGTCATCCATTGAAAAAAGTAATCAAATTCATGTCCTTTAACCTTTTTTATGAAGAAGAATTTAAATGACCCAAACGATTGTGCCAAACATCCAAAGACTCAACAATATAAGAAAAAGAAGTACTTCCATTCTCATTCATAACATTCAAAACAAACAAGCCATTATTGAGGTAACCATTCCCAACAAAGTCTCCATTCTTAGTCATTACAATCTTGTCATCCTCAAAGACAAGTTTTAGGCCGGCTTTGTTGAGAAGGGCTCCCGAAACAAGATTTCTCCTAAGAGAAGGTACATACAACACATTATTTAAAAATAAAGTTTTTCTGGAGGTAAGTTTGAGATGGACCTTTCCTTTTCCAAGGACTACGGTGGTGCTACTATTGCCCATGTAGACATGATCGCCGTCGGTTACATCTTCAAACTCAGTCATCAAACCCTTGTTTTCACATAAATGCCTTGATGCTCCGGTGTCCAAAATCCACTCAATTTTATTTTCCACCAAGTTGGCTTCAACCACCACCGCCGCTATAATATCTTCCATTTCAACAATGTTAGCTTGGGAGGTAGTGCCATCTTTCTTAGCTCCATGCCTTCGGTTGCATTGGTATGCTTTGTGTCCTATGATTCCACACACATAGCACGCCCCCTTAGGCTTTTGGATTTTGTTGTTATGCATGAGTGAAGTTTCTTTTGGACTTGTTGTTTCCCTTCTTCTTGAAGTTTTTCCTGTTTTTAGACACATTTAAAGGAGACTCAACATGATTAGCTTTAGAAGAATTAAGAGATAAATTTTCAAACTTATCCTTAAGGCGATTAGCCTCTTCGGTTCTCATGTGACTAATGAGTTCTTGGAGGGTCATGTCCTTCTTCTTGTGATTCAAGGAATTACGGTAGTCATTCCAAGAGGGAGGGAATTTCTCCAAGAGGACATTGGCTTGAAGAGTCTCACACATCTTCATGCCTTCACTAAGGATTTCGGTCACCAAGTTCTCATAGTCATGGACTTGAGTCATGATAGGCTTCTCATCATCCATTTTGAATTTGATCCACTTGCCCACCACGTACTTCTTTTTCCCAGCATCATTCGCTCCATATTTCTTTTCCAAAGAAGCTCATATCATCTTGCTTGACCTGAAATTGACAAATAATAAATCAAACAAAGAGTTGTTCATGTGGTTGAGTAGATGGCCACAAACAAGCTTGTTGTCCTTGTCCTTCTTCTTCAAGGCTTCCGTTGTGGCCGCCGGGATTACGGCTGTAGCGGTTTTAGCCGCTTCTTCCACATTCTTGAGAGTCTCAATAACATCTTCATTCAAAACATAGTCTACTTCCAATTGTTCAAAGAAGATTAGTAACTTTTGACCATCTCTTATAGTTGTTACCATCAATAGGTTCCAACTTAGAGAGGTCGGGAAGGGTGTTGTAAAAGGAAAAAGAGGAAATTCTGTGTGGCATGATGAATCACTGCCTTTGAAAACAAATTCCAGCGCAACCGGGGTGCACAATTGTAATCGCCGAATCGTTCCCTAAGGTTACACACTACTCTTACACTAAGACACTTTAGAGTAAGAGGTGAAGTCTATGAAAACTTATGCCCAAAGAACCAATGTGTTTTTGATATTTTTAAAGTATATAATCAGAAAAAAACCATCCTTCAATTTATAATGATGAAAGGAGGAAGATAGAAGATCATAGAGGAAGATAGATAATCAATAGAGGAACAAAAACAGAATAAAACATGGTGATTAATCACCATAAACAACCTCTTAAATGGGGGGTTACAAGAAATCATCCAAGAAGAAGAATCCAAGGAAGCTGTTGGAGTCCAACGAACGGGCTCGCTCCCGGTCGGGCGAGCACCCTGATAAAATCTGGGTTGCTCTCGCGCCCGGTCGGGTAGACTCTGCTATTTTCCAAACGTCCCCTCGCGCCCGGTTGGGCGGAGCTTGCCCGGTCGGGCAAGCACCCAGTCAAAATCTGGGTTGCTCTCGCGCCCGGTCGGGCGACGGAACTCCATATTTTATGACTCCTCTTGCGCCCGGTCGGGCGGTGCTCACCCGGTCGGGCGCCCGTATCAGTCTACTTTGAATTTCCTTTCTTTATTCCAACATGTAGTTGGAGGAGAAATGTGGAAAATAGTTGTGTTAGAACTCATTTTGGCCTTTTTCACTTGTTTTTCACGCATATGGACCTATAACTTAGTTTCTTCATACTTAGGTGCAATTTGAAAGCATAAACACTTGTGAGTAGGTGATATAGGTATGTTATGACCAATTATAAGGTAGTTTGAGGAGAATTATGGAAAATAGGCGTGTTAGAACTCATTTTGGCATTTTTCACTTGTTTTTTTCATGCATATAGACCTATAACTTAGTTTCTTCATACTTAGGTGCAGTTTGAAAGAATAAACACTTATGAGTAGGTGATATAGGTATGTTATGACCAATTACATGGTACTTTGAGGAGAAATGTGGAAAGTATGCGTATTATAACTCATTTTGGCCTTTTCCCTTGTTTTTAACGAATATGAACTCATATGCGTGAGTTGTTATTTCATAGCTGCTTATTACATCTCGTGTATCTGTTGCAAGGTACCTACTAAAAGAAGTGTGATGAAGCACGCACTCAAGGGCTTCAAAAGAGTCCGGATGAGTTGTACTGGGAGATAATTGGCGGGCGTAGTAAGAAGGGCCGAGTTAGGGGACTTGGCCGAGGTATAGAGTTGTACTACGGTTCCTTTCAGGGTCGAGGATCCGGTGCATCCCAGCAATACACGCCGTCGATTATTTCTCATTTGCAAGATCATTTCGAGAAATAAAAGAGTGCAAGCTATACAAACTTCAATGAAGGCAGAGATCGAGTCTCGAGTGGCGGCTCAAATGGCACAAATAGAGAGGAGGAACAAGGAGTTAATGGATGAGATGTTGAGTCGCATGTTTGGATTCAGCACCAAGGACACTTGTTCTACAATTCAGCCACTGCCACGAGACCCTCGAGACGACCTAGATTGTGGTGGAGGCCAGGATTCCCAAGCTTGCGTCTAGCTTAGCATTTCCATTGTTATGTTGTCTGTAGTTTTTGGTACTAGTAGCATCAATGCACAGTTTAATTGTATATACTTGTTCTACATATTAATTAAAGTTCCATGATTTTGCTTGTAAATAGTTCGATTTTATATAACAATTGTAAATATATTGTACCTTACACAAATTGCATTGGTGGAAAATAGGTTATTTGCAAGATTAAATAATAAATAACAAACATTGGAAATAGATGCTTGACATGTATTTCGACGGAAATTATCCATTGGTAGGTTGGATATTTTTGACTGATAAATGTTCCGTCGCAAATTTCCGACAAAATATTCCGTCGAAAAGCTGGAATATTCCGTCGGAAAGTTGGAATATTCCGTCGGAAATTTAGAATATTCCGTCGAAAAGTTGGAATATTCCATCGGAAAGTTGGAATGTTCCATCCGAAATTTGCGATATTTCCATTGAAAATTTGGAATATTTCGTCGGAAATTTTCGAAGGAAAATTATACTGCCGAAAAAGATCCAACTTTCCAACGGATAAATTCCATCGGAAATAGGGTAATTTCCGAAGGAATTTCTTTCCGTCGAAAAATTTCAGACGAAATATTCCATCGGAAACAGAAGCCAGGACGACACATTTCATTTGATGAAAATCGCCGTTTCGACGAAAATTCCGTCGGAAGTTTGTCAGTTTTCGACAAACAATTTCCGACTGAAATCCGTCGAAAATCGCATTTCAGATGGATTTTCCCTGTTTTCCGATGGAAATATTCCATCAAAACTTCTTATTTCTTGTAGTGGTCCATGAGCACAAATTCATCCTTTGAAACCCTAGAAATCAAATCGCACTGTTGGTTACCCCCGGCGTCATTCCCATAACAACCACTATAGCAGCTCAAAGCACTGAGATTAAGTACCACAGAAACACTAACCTCAAATTTCTGAAATTTGGTTCGAAATTGATTCGATTTTGTTGTTGTTGGGAAAGCACATCGTATATTGAATTATATATGGGCTTGAAATTAAAGCTAATATTTATCGATTTGCATGAATTAAGGCTGTAATTTTTTTGATCTTGAGAAAATACGAACAAATTTCGTTCGAACTTGCAGCCCTAAAAGGAATTACAAATGACGCTGCTACAGGAAAGACAAAGACGATGAAGAAGAGCCACCATAGGAGAGACATTGACGATGGAGAAGAGCCGCCATAGGAGAGAGAACGATGGTGGAGAAAAGCTGCCTAGGAGAGGATGATCGATTGATTATTTTTGGGGAATAAAAGATAAAGGGTGGGTGTTTTTGTTTGGAATTAGATAAGGTAGCGTTGTATATTTAAATCGGTACCTTTCAAAGTTATGGGTACCGGTTTTTGTAAACCGGTACCTTTTAAGGGCCTTTTTTTATTTTTATTTTATTTTAGCCTCTAGATGAGCATTTTAGGTAGTTAAAAATTTCTGCCTTTCTTTTGTTATCTTTTTTCTTTTTTCTACTAGTGAGTTTGACCGGCACATTTGCTGAGACGTAACTTTGACCATTAATATCTTTAATTTTCTAATAGTAAAAATTGTAGCAAAATTAAAATTATGAAAATCGACACTGTAATTAATCTAATGATATATTATATATATGATAACATATATTTATTTTATAATACTACCTCCATTTCATTTCTGTGCAACATTTACTAGAAAGGGTTGCTACACAATAAGTGCAATAAATGTTTTCTATAAGTGATGTATGTAAATAGTGCAAAAGTCGAATTGGTTCAATTACAAAATTGAAAAAGTGATATAAGATGTTTTATCAAATATTATGTTAAACTAATTATGAAAAACTTTAAGAATAAACGTGCGTAACATGAGACCTAAAATAGTAGTCCACTAAGGCGTTAACCACTGTTTTTTGCTTTTTTCCCTTTTGTGTTGTATATATATTCTATAACAGAGTAGGTAATTTGACATTAAACTCCACAATAATACCTTGGTGGGTTAGTGAGTACATACAAGTATTTATTTATTGTTGATTTGTTCCCGTTTGACAGCGCTCAACAGCAGTAGTTGGTCTCTCTCTTCGCTTGTTGCTGCTCATCCTCCCTTTCTCTCGCCTGAATACAACCGCCGACCAAAATTGAGCTAGACTACACCGTAACCAAGGTAAACCCACATTGACACCTCCTTCACTATAACTCCTGAATTTTGTAAAAGAGTCCTCTTTTATACATTAAATAAAAAAAATAAAAATTGTCTCCGTATGTATTGATTTGGAATCTTTTATGTATGATATGATTTTTGTGAATGATTATATACTTCATTTTATATACCTTCAAATTCAATCGTGTATCTTGATTTGGATTGTTTTATGTAGGCTATGTTAAACAACGTCCTAAAATTATCTGGTAATACCCGAAAATAAAAAAACAAAAGTATAAAAATAACCCTAATATAAAAAACGGGTTTTTACCCACTTACTCCATCTACCTCTCATATACACTTCACTCCTTCACATCAAACACCACGACACTTCAAGCATCACTTCAATTCTAAATTATCACCACCATCACTTTAATCCTTCTCCATATCAAACACCACCACCACCACTTCAATCTTTCACCATTTGAAGATGAACAAAGGGAAGGCGCCTATGGAATTGCAGGTAATTTTTTTTAATTCGGATTAATCTGGAAACGATCAGAAAGTCATTTCTCCCATGAAGAAACGACTACCTGGGTCGTATCTCATGATTCCAGATCTTCGGTTTTTTTTTTTTTTTTTTTTTTTTTTTTTTTTTTTTTTCTATTATTATTGTTTTTCGTAATGACATTTTGGAAAATAATTTGATGTTTTTCCTTGATGGGACCGCGTATGTGTCATAAGTGGGAGCCTCATATCTTGACACATATTCCTTGAGTAACAAAACTTGTTTCTCACAACGAGAAACAGAGAATTATCCATTTTTTATTATTATCTTTCTTGTTGTTTTTGTTGTTAGTGCGGTTAATAACAATAACAATAATAATGAAAAAATAATAAAAAACAAAAAAAAAAAAAGAGCTGAAAACGATCCCAAGATAAGAAACTGGAGAAACGATTTATCAGGTCGTTTCTCCCATGATACGAAATTTTTGTAAAAAATATAGGGTCTGTACGCTCCGTCATATGCAACATTTGGGTTCCGTCATCGTCGCCCATATCCAGTAAATGTCAAGGTTTTTTATTTGCAATGGGTACATACAGTTGTGGTAATTTAAGTCAAAGTTTTTGATTTACAATGGATACAGTTGTGATAATTTGTCAAGATTTAAAAATCGTAGTCAATTTTCTCAATGAAAATGTCAGGTAAATGAGGTAAATGTCAAATAAGCTACCAATATAGGGGATAGGTTTGTCTTTCCATAATTTTAATTTTTTTTTTGACATTACTTGGTAAAACACGGACTTTGTTTATATTTTCAAGTCATTAGAAAACATGGAATGAAAATATGATAATGATTCCCAAACACGACTTTGATTGATTTATATGGTTTGAGTAATTGAATTTATGAAAATGATGATTGAACTTCATTTGGAATAAATCACGTGAGAATGTTTTGACGACGGTGTTTAAAGTTGTTAATAATTCTAAATTATTGTCTAGGGATATAATTACCTCTGTTTTACATTATATACAACAACGGAGTATTTATTGTGAGATTTATAAAATTCTATTGTTGCACGTGACGTGAAACTAACGTGGTAAGTTAAAATTTCCATGCTTCTAAAACTTAGAAAAAAAAAAAAAAATATCATCTGACCTATGAAACAATGAAATCATTTTCCAGATGTCTTACGCGGATGCATGCAGGAAGAAACCCGGGCCTTCACCGGCAGCACCCAGAAAATCTTCAAATTCCGAAGCTCCTTTGCCTCCTTACTATGTATTTATCCTGACGGTACTTATAATCAAACTTTTTACAAAATAATTATTTTAATTACTACAATGTTGTAGTCTATAGGTTTATAATTTAACTATTGTGCAGAATGCAAAAACATTCAATATATTAAATGGAAATTATAACGGCGAACATAAGAAGTTTGTGCTTCATTCATTACGTCTTTTTAAAGAACCCGAAAGCAGCAAGGATAGTGAACAAACATATAATGAAGAAGTAAGTTATATATTGCTGTGTTTTTTTTTTTTTTGATGATAATTTGCAAAAGCAGAGTTGTATAATAATTTCAATTTTTTGTTCATGGATAAATTGTTATATTTATCTTTTTTTTTTTTTTTATCAATAGGTGGATACAAAATACGGAGAGCGGTTTGAAAAAATTTCTCCTGGTTTGAAACGCAATCAAAGGGGTATTGAGCATCGGAAACATCAGTACCTTAATCACGGTTATCATCTTCAACTTCATGGTTTAGATCAGCGAAAATATTTTGAGAAAATGATTGAACTATATAACGATTTCAAATTTAATCAGAAGCTGAGTGAAGTTGCTAATATTCTCGGCCTCCCTAAATCTGGTGTTCCAATTTCAAATCAAAATTGGAAAATTGCTGATATAAAAAGTCATGATAGCATACTAAAAAGTAAGTTAGATGGCTGTGATCCTGGCATATGCTATGCACAAGACCAGCGTGGAAAGAAGTTTGTTTATGAGTATAGACTCTATTTAGACCAGAATTTTAAGATCGTGGATGCGCCTGTTGGTTTTAAGGTTGAATTCCTGCCATGCGTACTCCAACTGGAAGATTACGATTTTGAAATCGGTATGAACGAAAAGGCATGAGTAGCATTGCTAAGGCTTTGAGGACTGCGCTCGGGTGAAGGTTTGCTAAATTGTGTTTATTTCATGTCATATATGTAATATTATGTACTTGTATTGCTGTAAGATTTGGGTGAAGGTTTGCTAAATTGTGTTTATTTCATGTCATATATGTAATATTATGTAATTTTATTGCTGTAAGATTTTGGTGAAGGTTTGCTAAATTGTTTTTATTTCATGTCATATATGTAATATTATGTACTTGTATTGCTGTAAGATTTTGGTGAAGGTTTTCTAAAGGCTAACAGTGCCAGAGCCTAAACTTAGTTAATGAGCATTCTTTTAAGCTAATGGCAATGTCATATGGTCATGTAAATGCAAGAGCAAAATAGGATCATATCTAAATGAGAAGGAACAATGCATCATATGCTTTGATTCTGCAAGTTACTCCCTCCGTTTTTTTAAATGCAACACTTGTGTATGCACGGGATTTTAAAAAACAATAATTTGTTTTAATATCATATTAGGCTAATGGAAAAGTGGATGATTAATTTATTTGGATAAAGTACAATGGGACCATCTAAAGATAGTATGTGAGAGAATAGTTTTTTGAATGAGAATCATGAAAGAGAGATAAATAATAAAATATTTTGAGTGTGGCTTTATAGAGGAGAGAAATAATAAAATATAATATAAAGTTACCAAAAATAAAAGTAATACAAAAAAAAAAAAAAAATCCTTAAATGATAGGTGATGTATTTAAAAAAACAGAGGGAGTAATAAGTAAACAATGAAACCAAATGCATTTTAATACCTACCGAAAGTAAATAAATAAAGACTTAGACATTTACTAATAAATTGGAAACAAAGACAAATATATGCTCACCCACTAGTTAACAAGATGTTAGCTTAACAAATATATAAAATAACAATTGCATTTCATTGGCTGCACATACATTGCCTGTTTTGATCGATGTTTGAGAGTAAAGGGGAGGGTATGTGAACTCCGGATTCAATATAGTAGATTTAATTATGGGCAGCCCGGTCCAACCTGCTGGCCCAACCCTACTCGGCCTGAGTTTGGACAAGTTTAGGCAGCGTTTTTCTGGCCTAAATTTTTTTGGGCAGATTTAAATATGTATTTTTTTTTTTTACGATTTTTAGTTATTTTTTTAGCCCGATCCAACCCATACTTTGATCACCTCTATTATATAGCGAGTTCCCCACCATCCATAACAAACAAGCTTGGTTATGTTATATTATCTATCTACTAAAAAATTGGTTACACATGATAAATACTGAGTGATGTACTTGATACGCACATACATTATACATATGATTTACATATATGAGTCTCCTTTTATTATTGAAGGACTCTTGGCATTCAAAATAAAAAACTGGATGATTTTATAAGGCCCACCTAATTTATTTGATTAGATTATATGGGTCTTTGTATAAATTGTCATATGAATATATGGATCACCTTTTAAATACAATCTTTTAAGAAAATAAAAATAAAACAAATTAATTGCAAATAAATAATTAAATGAAGTGTGACAAAACACAACAGTAGTAGAATTGAAGAAACATGCAATTTTTACTTGATTTTCACAGTAGATGCTGCACCAAATGGACACACACATTCAAAATAAAAATTAAAATAAAAAAATAGTACATAGATATGTGAGGGTAATGATAAGGATGCACCCCAATTCTTAATCTGATGTTGTTCATCTTCAGTAAGGACTAACCGAGGTAGAAGAAGTTGATCGTTAAGCCAATTGTTTTTATCTTCACCTGCATCAGGAATAAGGGAGCCTGGTAGTGAAACTTGATCGATATCATCCTTAAAATGACGAGCATTATCTTCAAGGTCGCTCCTTTTTCTTTTCAGTTTCAACTGGTTCTGATTATGTATCCCCCGAATAGTTGTGTTGTAAGAGCACCCACAACTCCGGGTTGTCAGACTCTGAGGGGAGATTTAAACAACCATCCACGTTGAGATACCTTAGAGAAGTACTGAGGAGTAGCCCTCTATGTATGCTACTCAGATTCGGAAGCCTCAACAATTTTAGCCTCCAGAAATTAGGGAGAGCAAGTATGGATTCGGGTGCTTTGAATATCTGCTCTATCTTTGGGCAATCCACCACTTCTAGCTGTTGCAAAGAAGAAGAGAGGTGCAGGTCCTTATCAATGCTTCCCAACTAGGGTAAATTTCCCAAACTTATATCCTGCAATTTAGAATGAGCCAATATGGGATTGGGTTGTGGATTGAAAGCATTCATGGGATCAACTACTAGTGAAACTGTCTCATCCTGTGAAGTTGAATCTCTCTCGAATATCTCTTCTAACTCTTCACAGTCCCATACACAAAGCTTTTCTAGCTTAGTACAGAGATGCAGGTTCATGTCAAGTCTTGTAACTTCGGTAGATAACCTATGTTTAAATAAACCAAATTAGGAAGAGCAGGAACGGAGTTGGATTGACAGCCGTTGTTTGATACAAATATCTCCTCCAACTCCTCACAATTTGACAACACAAAATATTCCAAGTTTGGAAGAGAAAGATGTTTCTCCACGAGGGGAAAGGTCACTTTTATTTTTGGACAAAATTCTATTACCAGACGGCGAAGCTTGGAAAAAGTGCATCCCTCGAATTCTATTATCCCTCTTAAATCAGGCAGATCACGCATATTTATGTCCTTTGCTATCAATGATGATGGTGATGATATGTATTTTAAACCTTTGCAAGAACTTACAGACAACACCCTCAAGTCTATTGCCACACCCAAGGTGGGAAAAGCATCTCCCAGGTTTCTTCTGCTCACATTACATTCAAGTATCTCCAGCTTTTCAATTGTTGTAGGGAGCAAATAAGTGGTTTATCATCTCCTTCTGCCCAAGCTACAAACACTATATTCTCATCCTCCCAAAAATATTCATGGATCCAATTCTTTAGACAATCATAAATTGTTTTGAACAATTTCGGGTCATGAAGCCAAAATCTGTAGCAACTTAATGAAGATGGTAAAGATTGAAAAAGCTTATTAACTCCAGTGATGTCTGACACATCCCAAGGACAATAGCTTACCTTTTCTAAACATTTCAATCTTTCTATCCCCTTTGGTGCTTCTTCAAGCTTTAAATCATATATTAGATCGATCCAGCACCCTCAATTTTGAAAGCTTTGCTAAAGATGGCACATATGTTAACTCGTCACAGAACCAAGTAATAGCGCCCTTAGATTTTCCAAATCAGATACATTCTCTAGTAACCTCTCAATATTAGTTCTAGATAAATCAAGAACTGAGAGGGCTTGCATGTGTAGAAAGAATGATTTTGGGATCACTGTCAGAGGATTTTTATTGAGCTTGAGCAATGTAAGTTTAGTGTCGGAGGTGCCACACCACATGGGATATCATTGATTCTATTTTGACTCAATGACGCCTTTACCAGATCCTTGCTCCACTGCTCTTCTTCTGGTACTTACTTCAGTCGAAGTCTAGATTTTGTCATAAAACCAAGGATATCTTTTTGTGATCATAATAGACAGATCTCTCATCAAATCATGCATCTTAACACATTCATATCCACCATAACCCGTGCATGCTTCCAACAAGCCCAAGTTTATTAGTCTATTCAAGATTGTATGGCCCTTTTTCAATTGTTTTGATCTGCTCCCTACATCATCCAGCAATCCCTCTATAATCCATCCATGTATTAGCTCCTCCCTTTTAATCTCATAGTCTTCAGGATAAAGTATGCAACTTAAGAAGCAATTCTGCAGCATCCAGTCATTCAGGCGATTGTAACTGTACTTTAATACTGAAAACACGTAGTCTACCATATCACCCTGCTCACAAGCAGATTGTCTCAGCTCATTTAAAGCATCATTCCATACACGGACATCAACCACCTGAGTCATACTGCGAGCCATTGTAGCAATTGCAAGTGGCAAACCACCACTCTTTGGCAATTGATCTTGCGATTCCTTTTACTTCCTCTGTAAGTCTGTCATAGTGCCCAAGCTTGTCAGCAAACAAATTCCAAGCTTCACCTTCTGGGAGAACTTTAACCTCAATGAGAAAGTCTTTGCATCCCATTTCTTGACACACTTTAGATGAACGACTACTTAAAATGATCTTGCAACTGCTGCCTTCAATAGGAAAGTCGATATCCATTCCTGAGAATGGATTCCATTTCCACATGTCATCTAAGACAAGTACAGTCGAGCCCATTGTGGATAATCTTTTGTGTAAAATAGCTGCTCTCTTCCTATCATCACCTTCTTCAGAAAGATCAACACCAAGCTCTTTAGCAATTTCATCTTGCAGTTTGAGCTTATCACAATTTTGCGAGACAGTTACCCAATAAGGACGTCCAAAGATGTCTGCTAGAAATTAGTATGGAAACATCAAGTAAGAAAGCTAGAGAGGAAGAACAATGGCAGCCTAGGGAATAATAGTAGTATTATCAAACAGAGTGTTTAACAATACAGGCCTCTTTCGAGAGGAAGAAGCTCTCCAAGTACGACAACTTAATTAATTTCTTCCTTCCATTCCCCTTTTTACAATCCCCTATTAATACCCCAAAATTACTCCCTAAAATAGACTTAACACACCTTAAGCATGCCAGCTAAGAAAAATAACAAACTCATAACAAACTTATCTAGAGATTACTATTTTACCCTTCTCACCAAACTGAATTTAACAACCTTACAACTTAGCATTCTTCCAACTAATTCTTGGGCCTTCTAGCATAAGTGAAGCGAATATCAGGTCTAGGTTGGTTCCTTGCAATACCTCCCACCCAAAGTTTCACCTTGTCCTCAAGGTGGAAGCTAGGAAACCTGAGGTTAACCTCCTCAAAATGCTCCCAAGTGGCTTCAAACTCCTGCAATCCTTTCCAATGAATCAAGACCTCCATTGCAGCCTGTGAATTCCTCACACCCAGCACTGCTTCCGGCTCAACCTCCAGTACCAAGTCAGCTGACAACTCGCAGGGAGGCTGGTTGGACAATGTCCAGCACCCACGGCTTTCTTCAGTTGAGAAACGTGGAAGACTGGGTGTATTTTGGACCCTGGTGGCAGCTGCAGTTTGTAAGCCACCTTGCCAATCCTCTGAACAACCGGATAAGGCCCATAGAAACGAGGAGCCAGCTTGGTATTAGACCTTCTCACCAATGACCCGTGTCTGTACGGTTGTAGCTTGAGGTACACCAAGTCACCAACCTGAAAATCACCCTCACGCCTTCCCTTATTCTCATATTGCTGCATATACACCTGTGCTTGCACCAAATTAAACTTTAAGTCATCTAGAATAGCATCCCGTTCCTGCAGCTGTTCTTCTACCGAGGACACAACTGTAGTCAGCGGCGGAGTCAGGATTTTCAACTTGGGGGGACAAAATGCTTAACTTACGAAAAGTTTAACAAAAAAAAAAAAAAAAAAAAAAAAACTCACACACAAATTGGTTAATACTTAATATTAAAATTTCAAAATACAAATAAATACTTAGTCATACAATTCAAAATAATGAAAAAATTTACATAAACATTACATTAAAATTACAAGTTCATTCTTCGAGTCTTCATACTTTGAAATCGATCAATAATTTTTTCGTCGGAAACTCGTAAGAAGACATCCTTCTCAATAAAAGTGACCAAACAATCATTCATAAGTTGATCACCCATGCTATTTCGCAACTTGTTTTTAACACATGTCATTGCGGAAAACACTCTTTCAACACTTGCCGTGGCAACGGGAAGAATCAACATCAACATAACTTGATAAGCAAATGAATAAGAGGAAAAGTCTTATGCTTATTGGTTTTAACAAGCATCATAGAAAGAGAATTAAGGTCATTTAAACCTTGAAATCTTTCATCATTTAGCATATTCTCCATGAATACATCAAGTTGACATTCAAGAGCCATCAAATCAAACCTTGAAAATTCTTCGGGATAAAAAGAGGCAAGTTTAAGTACCTTATCTTTATCATAGAATGAGAAGTTATCTTTAGGACTTAAACAAGCCATACATGTTAGTAACTCCATATTCCTCTCATTAAATCGTTCATCAAGTTCTTTAAGATGCAAATCAATAAGAGGCAAGAAAATTCCAACCCGAAAATGATGTTCATTTGTTGCTTCTTCAACAAAACGTCTTGATCTTCCATGAGGAACATAAAGAGAATCCATAGTGGGAATAACAATACCATGTTTAGTGCAAAATGAAGTTACCTTGTTTAAGAGAGTATCCCATCCTCGCTCCCTCATTTTGTGCAACACCGTTTTTGTATAAGTAACAAGTTCCATGGCATTTACAATATCTTGCTCCTTTCTTTGCAAAGCAACACACAAATCATTAGTGTATCCAAAAATAGTCAACATCAAGTGAGCAACAAAAATAAAGTCAAATGACTCTAATTGTCCTAAAACAATTTGAGCTTTGAACTTATCTTCCGACGCACCATGCTTCCCAATTTGTACAAGCACCTTAACAATTGTAGGAAATAAGAGGATGACATTTAAAAGTGACTTGTAATGAGAACTCCAACGAGTATCCCCGGGCCTACTCAAACCAAGTTCTTGATTTAAACCCGATCCACTCACAATATCCCCAACATCCAAGGCTCGAGCAACTTCTTGAGCTTGATCTTGACGAATCATTTCTCTTCTCTTGCAAGAAACTCCAACCACATTCAATAAATTTCCAAGTATCTCGAAAAGCCAACCACAACTATCATTCTTTTTAGCAACGGCAACTAATGTTAGTTGAAGTTCATGAGCAAAACAATGTATATAGTAGGCACGTGGAGTATCATTCATAATCAAAGTTTTAAGGCCATTTATTTCACCCTTCATGTTGCTAGCTCCATCATACCCTTGCCCTCTTATCATATATGGGCTCAATGAATGTTCAACAAGTAAAGACATGATTGCATCTTTAAGAGTTAAAGCGGTAGTATTAGCAACATGAACAATGCCTAAAAATCGCTCCATTACCTTTCCACTGTCTCTATCAACAAAACGCAAAACAAGAGCTAGTTGTTCTTTTTGGGACACATCACTTGACTCATCGGCCAATATAGCAAAGTAATCATCACCAACTTCTTCTATTATGCACCTAGTTGTTTCTTTGGCACAACAATTAATAATGTCCTTTTAAATAGGAGGGGAAGTCATTTAACAATTTTTAGGTGCATTTTCAAGAGTATGTATCCTTACTTCCTCAACCTTTTCTCCTAACCACTTCAAAAGCTCAAGGAAATTACCCCTATTGTATGACTCCCCACTTTCATCATGTCCACGAAATGCCAAACCTTGCCCCAAAAGAAATCTTAAACAAGATAAAGATGCTTTCAAGCGGATAAAATATTCACTTTTAATCACATCACTTGCATTGTCAATCACATTCAAGATTGATTTTTTTTTTCATCTCTTAAATTCACATATTTCTCATAAGCAAGATTATGAGCACTTTTAATTCCACCAACATGCTTCTCAAATCTTTCCGGTTTATTCCATGCCCTAAACCCTCCATCAACAAATGCATCACCCCCCGGTTTAATACCAACTTCATTCTTGAACAAGTAACATACAAAACAAAATGCAGCATCTTTTTCAATACTATATTCAAGCCAATCCCATTTGTTGAACCAATGAACACTAAAGCGACGCAAACCAGACACTTGTCTTGTAGGGAAGTCATGAGTTTTTGGTTGGCAAGGTTTTTTAAGAATATAACCCCTCCTAACAGCATTTCGTTCATTTGCGGGGTAATCCATAATGTTTATTCTTTTTCCCGGATCATGAGGAAGAAGTTCAACATCATACACAGAATCTTCCTCTAATGGTACATTACTATTACTTGAACCACCCATTTCCATACTATTTTCTTGACTTTGAGGGGAGCTAAATGAAGGTGAGTTATTGGACTCATTTTCATTGGACTCATTTTCATTGAGTCTTGTTCTTTTAAACAAGAATTGTCGAAGATCGGGTTGTTTAGTTGTCTTGGATTTGTTTGAACTTGGTGAATCTTTTGATATATCCTAGTTAAATCGAAAATTATATATCAATTTCCACAAGACCACAATCCACATCATTACATAATAACAAAACCTAAGATTTTAAATTTCTAATTCAACTACACATTTCAATAATTTACAATAATTAATAATTTAAATTCACATTTCACAAAAACAACCAAACACTCAAACAGGGGAAACATTCAAACAATCAAACAAATATAAATCAATAATCATTTATCAATTCAATAATCAATACCCACAAGGCCACAAATGACAAATTCACAATAAAAATATAAATTATAAAACAATTAAACATTTAAACAAGTAATGAAATTCACTTAATTCAGATTTACATAATTACATAATCAATTAATCATACCTCCATTGAAATTCACAGTAAATCTATAAATGCGAAGTTGCCGACTTGCGAACTGCTGCTGCAAACACTTTACACTTGAACACCAAACGTCCAAACTGCTGGCTGTGCTGCGGTGGCGCGGTGCTGGGCTGCTGGCTTGCTACTGCAAACAGCAAACACGAACTCACGATTCACGAAGACACGATTCACACGAATTGAAGGCTCAAGGCTGTCCGCTGTCGTCTGTCGAACCTCGTCACTGGCCTCACTGCAGCGAACTGCCGGAGAACGGTGGACAGCGTCAGGCGACTCCGGCGAGGTGAGGGCGAATCGAAGAGAGAGAAATTAAAAATTGAAAGACTTAGGGTTTGGCTGCAAATGTCGCACAGAGCACTCAGTAATTGCGTTTTTTTGTTTTTTTTTTTTAAAATTTTTTTTTTAATTTTTTTTTTGAAAATGGGGGACAAGTGTCCCTACTCGTCCCCTTCTAGCTCCGCCCCTGACTGTAGTACCAGCTGAAAATCGCAGCAAGTGAGGAGGATCCCGTCCATACACAGCCTTGAAAGGGGTGTAATTAGTGGCGGTGTGAAAAGAAGTATTGTACCAGTATTCAGCCCATGGAAGCCAGCGAGCCCAAGTGTGGGGTTTCCCGTTCACAAAACACCTCAAATACGACTCCACTCCCTTATTGACAACCTCTGTATGGCCGTCAGTCTGGGGGTGATATGCTGTACTTCGCATCAACTGAGTACCCTGAAGTTTAAACAATTCAGTCCAGAAAATGCTCAAAAAAACCTTGTCACGATCAGACACAATAGACCCTCATATACCATGCAGCCTTACCACCTCACTTACGAAGCTATGAGCCACGCTCTGAGCAGTATAAGGGTGTTTAAGAGGGATAAAGTGCCCATACTTGGTGAGTCTGTCTACCACCACAAGTATGGTATCCCAACCCAAAGATTTGGGTAAACCCTCTACGAAGTCCATTGAAATGTCCTCCCATACTTGTTCCGGAATTGGTAATGGTTGGAGAAGCCCCAAAGGAGACAGGGTTGAATTTTTATTTTGCTGACAAACGTGGCAATGTTGCACATACTTAGTTACATCTTTATGCATCCCAAACCAAAACCACTCACTAGCCAGCCTGTGATAAGTTTTAAGATCACCCGCATGCCCTCCCACTAGAGAGTCATGGTATTCTTTCAGCAATTTGGTGGTCTAACTCACAATTGCCTCGGAATTACTACCCGGCCTTTGTACCTCAACACCCCATTCTCAAAGGTGAACTACTTGGGAGTATTTTCCTTGTTGTTAAGCTGAGAAATCAAGCGTTGCAGCACCTCATCCTTCTGTATAAACGATTATACGTAGTCCCAACGCAGGCCACATGAAGTGACCATAGAATAACACTCCATAACCGAGCTAAATTGGCGGGATAAGGCATCCGCCACCTTGTTGGCAAGACCCGATTTGTAGTGTATCTCAAAAGTATACCCCAACAGCTTGCTTATCCATGTTTGGTAAGCTTGACCCACTTCCCTCTGTTCCAGCACGTACTTGAGGCTCCTCTCATCAGTACGAACAATGAAGTGACGGCCTAATAAGTATGTCTCCATTTCTCTACGACAAACACTATAGCCATCAACTCCATTTCATATATAGGCTTGCCACGATTTCTCTCTTGCTGAAGTAAGCTATCGGATGGTCTGCTTGCAACAAAACTGCACCCAACCCATGCCCTGAAGCATCGGTTTCCACTACGAAGGGTAAGGAAAAATTTGGAGCAACCAGAATCGGGGCACTCACCATAGCAGACTTGAGGGCTGTGAAAGCTGTGCTAGCAGCCTCGCTCCATCCAAAATTGTCCTTGCGTAATTGATCAGTCAAGGGTTGCGCAATCATCGCATAGCCTTGTATAAACTTGCGATAATAGCCTGTAAGACCAAGAAAGCCTCGGAGCTCTCTCAAATTCGAAGGAGGGGGCTACTCTAACATTGCTTGGACTTTAGAAAAATCCACTTCCACCCCGGCTGCTGAGATAACATGGCCCAAGTACGCCACCTTAGCCTTTCCTACTTCACATTTTTTGAAGTTGGCATACAGTTAATGGTTTGCAAGAGTCTGCAACACCTGTCTCAAGTGTGTTATATGAGTATCCCCAAAAGGGCTGTAAACCAGAATGTCGTCAAAGAAGACGAGAACAAATTTCCGCAAGAATGGCTTGAATATCTCATTCATAAGTGACTGAAAAGTAGCAGGGGCGTTGGTCAGCCCAAACGGCATTACGAGAAACTCATAATGGCCCTCGTGGGTGCGAAAAGCTGTTTTATGGACATCCTTAGGTCGAACTCGAATCTGATGGTACCCAGATTTCAGGTCAAGTTTCATGAATACAGCCGAGCCACCCAATTCATCTAACAGTTCATCAATGATAGGGATTGGAAATTTTTCTGGAATTGTTTCTTTATTTAATGCCCTATAGTCCAAGCAGAATCGCCATGACCCATCCTTTTTCTTCACTAGCAATACGGGACTAGAGTAAGCACTGGTTGACGGTTGAATGATCCTAGCACGAAGCATGTCCGAGACTAACTTCTCGATCTCATCTTTCTGTGATTGCGGGTACCGGTATGGCCTGACACTAACTGGGTTAGTGCCACTACGGAGCACAATAGCGTGCTCAATCTGACGGTGCGGGGGAAGTCCCTCAGGCATGTTGAAGAGATGGCTGAACTCCTGAATTAAGGGCTGGAAGGCCACTGGGACATCTGGTACTAACTCCTCTGATTCCTCAAACATATTCAATTCAATTAATTACCCCTGACCTTCCGAACATGGCTTTCAGAGTGATCCCCGTCCTTCCCAAGTGAGGATCACCCTTCAAGGTGACCATATCACCCCCTAGTTGGAATTTCAGAGTTCGTGTCTTCCAATTGGTGGTGATTGTACCCAATTTTTCCAACTATTGAATGCCAAGGATGAGATCCGAACTACCCAGAGGAAGAATGAGAAAATCCTCTAAGATCATTACACCCTGAAGGTCTAACAACACCCCTTTACACACGCCCTCGCTTTGCACCGCCTCACCGGTCCCAAGTGTAACCCCGAAACTCTTCGATTCCGTAGATTGAATACCCAAATTCTGTGCTGCTAAAGTGGAAATGAAGTTGTGGGTCGCCTCGGGATCTATCATTACCACCACAGATTTTCCGTTCACAACACCGGCTAACCGCATTGTTTTTGGGCTCGTCAGTCCCATGACCGAGCTCAGGGATACTTCTGGAGTCGATTGCGGTTCTGGTTGAGGTGGAATGAGGATCCCGTCTTCATCATCCTCCAAGAGCAACACGCTCAAGCCGCGGCGATGACAACGGTGGTTCACCGACCACTTTTCATCACAACGGATGCCCAAACCCTGCTCCCACTTTTGTTGAAGCTCCTTCTCAGTCAACCGCCTTATTTCGTCGGTGTTTTTTTTGGTTGTTGAAGGTGTTTCGGTTCGGAAAAGGGTGGTAGGTGGAAGTCCGGGGGTTCGGGTTTGTGTTTAGGGTTGTGGTGGTTGAGGTTGGAGTGTTTGGGTTGGATCGAAGGTTTGGGAAGGGGGTACGCCAATTGGGCATGTTTCCAGTAAGTTTGGGCCGTGGGAGAAAAGGTATAATTGATTCAATTGTCAAATTAGGCTCATAATTTTCTATTCCAGCATCATAACCTAATAAAAATGACCCTCTTAATAATGGGATCAATACTGAGTAGTTGTTGCTGCTTTATAAAGTATATAACCCCAATAATAGGCTATCAAAAAAAGACACACTGTAGAACAGAATGATCCACTTCTTTGGTTCATCTTACACTAACTTGCACTCACAGGATCACACAACCAAATCTATATCTGCTACTTAAGGTAGACCGAAACTAATGATATCATGATTATCATCCTCCTGTATGCAAAGCTCTGCATCACCTTAGTCCTCTAACTAAGGCCATCAAAGAGCCCCTAGACCTTCAAAATCCAATAAAATTAAACGGAAACCATAATCATCTATGACATCTTCATCATCACTACTCTAATTGAATTATCAATCAAAATAATTGAAATTAAAGGTAGAATTTTTACACCAGCTAAAAAAATTGCAACCTTAATATGCCGAATTATTGCCAGGAGGAAGACGAACAGAGTCCTACTCGATTTAGGTGAGGTCCATAGTGAGGAATCCTCCCATATAGTTTGCTTCTAATCTACAACCACAAATTATAAAAAGTCTTTTACCCAAAAACAAAAGATAAAATCAATAATTGAAATCAGAACAAAGAAATTACACCAAAAATCAATAGAAAAGAATAAAGAAATTACACCAAAGATCAACATCAATCCGACTTCTAACTAACGAATATTCAAAGCTACAAATCTCTAAAAAAAAAATTTTAAGTGTGCTAAAACAAACGATGACTATAAAAAGTATAACTGTATAACAGTTGAATAACCGAACCTGTGCAGCCATTTGCTCAGAATCAGAATTTGCAGAGTCACCTGAATTCTCTCAATTCTTCAACAAACCCTGTAGTTAATTAAATCACAATAAGTACAATTTCAGCAATAAATAACTCAAAATTCAGCCCAAAATTACCAAAATACCAAAAAAAATAAAATCAAAATACCTGAAGCTCGCCAATTATGTTAGCTAATTTTCCGTTTTTGACAAGGACAGGTCCAGTATAACCTGCAAAAGAAAAATGTGTGATCAGAATTAAAATTAAAATTAAAAGCAAAATTGAAGAGGGATGAGAGAGAAAGAGTACCAGCTCCGATAATGAGGAGAAACGCCCATTCCAGATTGAACGCCATTATAAATTTGTAATGGAGGAATTTACCCCTTTCGCCGCTTCAACAAAATCCCCATTTTTCATCAACTCCTTCACATTCCCTAAATTCCCACTCAATTTCACAATCGAAGCTTTCTTCATTTTGACGGAATAGTTGAGAGGAAAAAAGATAACCTGGTCGTGGCTGGGTGGTCGCCGACGATTCACCACCAGAACTCTTGAGAAACTCTCGGAAAAATGGGTTGAAATTACTGAAAATAGAGAGAGTAGAATCCAGCAGCAAGATAGAGGTAAAGTAGAAAATGAAGGGCAAAGGAAAAGGTGAAAAAGGGGGCAAAGTGAGAAAATATAAGGGCAAAGCTGTAATTGAACATTTTGAAGGGGTAAAAGGATCCGCACACTGTTCATATGGGACTCTCGAAAAAGCGGAAACCATTTTGAATGAATTTGGCTTTTAAAGGTTATGGATTTTTCCAATTATATTCTATTGCAAGTATTGTACTTCCCTTTGTGTTTAATAAATGAAATGTTTCACCTCAATGTGAAATTTTTATTGATAATATTTTTAATTATCAATTTGTAAAAATTATAATAATAAAGTATTAATAAATTATTTATTGAGATGATTCTAACAAATACCTACAACACTATATTTATTTTTATGCATAAATCACAACAATAAGTCAAAATAAATTAGATAAATTTTGCAAAAAGTCAAAACGTTTCATTTATTTAAACACGAAGGGAGTAACATTTTCATTCTATGGTGTGTCGTAGTGGGGAGTATAGTTTTGTTATTCTTTCTGACTGGACTCGACAAGTCCTCACCAATCCTGGGTTTGGAACCGGGTACCCGGTTTTTTTATGCTAATTTTTCGTTGGAGGAGGCGCCAAAATATCCGATGGGCCTCACTCCAAAAACGTAAAAGAGGATAAGAAAACCAACATTCGTTCTTTCTTCCTCTTCCATTTTCTCTCCCCCTCCGTCCTTCCTTGAGCTGCTGCTGCTGCTGTCGTCTTCTCCTCCAAACCACCTGCAAAAATGGCGATTGGAGCCGCAAGCTGCTGCTGGCTTAACGGAACTACTTCTGTAGATGTTGCTCGCGCTTCTCTCGTCTCCCACTCTTTTTTCCCTTCGCCGCATCCTACATTTCGTGCACTCATTTCAATGGCCGCCAATTGCAAGAGTAATGGTGATTCTTCTTCAAGAAGAAGTGCTACTAATTCTTCCTGTAATAGGAATTCTGCTAAAGAGGTGTAAATCTAACCTATATTTTTAGAATTTCCATTTTTAATTGTTGTACGATGTTGCAGAATACTAGAATGTTATATTGTTAGTGAATTGTGTGTGTGTTTTGCTTGTTTTTAGCTTATAATGCTGGAAAATTTGGACAATTGAGTTAAGTATTATAGGCAGTAGTTGACTCGGTGCAATATGTTTATATATGCCTGGAACAATTTATAATTGCTTGGATATCATAATTAAGAGTTAGGTCTTATCATGAAATTGAGCTCCTTTGAAGTTGTTTATAAGATGTGAAAGATTTTAACTGAAATAGTTGATTGATACTCCGTACTAAGTTTGCTAGCATGGTGGCCATAGCTTGAAATCGATCTTCTTAGAAGAGTGCTGCCTGGTTTTTATCTTTGGTCTTTCAAGGAACTAGTACTTCAAAATGAGAATTGTCATGTAAGGGTACAACTTTAAGTGACTCGTCCAACTATTGATAGGTGTACGATTAGTCGATTGCAAGTAGTGACTAGCGCTCGGTGTGAGTCCTGAGTTTGGATTACCTTAAGATAGCAGATTAGCAATGGAAATGTATAACAGGTTAGCAGCATCTTAGTATTCTTGCCGAACAGGGTGAGTTATTACTCATATGATGAAACGACGGATGTAAAATTTTGGTTCATTTAGTAAGCTCTACTGCTCTTGTATATGAAAATGAAAAGTTCCATTTTACTCACAAAAAAACTCCTTATCCCGTGGAAAACATGCTCCTTTAATGCCCTAGTGCTGGACCCAAATCTTTTATATCAGACTAATGGTGTAATAGTTTTTAACTTAACTATGGAATTATTTTTGGCAGAAACTAGATGATCCATATGAACTTTGATTTCCATTAAAATACTAAATTTTTCATTCAGTAAAAAGGGTGGTCAACCTTATGTCAAGCAAAAGAAAATCCCATGGAGTTGAAAAATGTTATATAATGAATTTCAATTTACTTACATCATCCATTTATAAGTTTGTATAAGCAACTTATCTCATCCTGGTATTTATGCCTTTTCGTCAAAGTCACATAAAGAAATGCATGTATGATATGGGTGCCAACGTTCCATTCATTGGTTATTAATACCTATTTAATTATTTTATTTAGTCTATCTCTGTTTGTTCAATATAATACCTGTGGTGGGCTCATTGGTTGGTACTGTTGTAGATTTTGAATTTCTGTTATCATCATTCAGGCAGATGTTATTACGCATAAATTCTTTTTTGGGAAGCCGAAAGATAAAAAACATTCCTTCTATAGACATCATGATGACAGAAATAAAGACATGGGGCGGTCGCAATCATCAGGCATTCAGTCATTTGTCATGCAAAGGAAAGACAGGAAAGGCTCTGCCTTCGAATTGAAGGAGCAGCAGGTATTTATTCTTCTTTGACTGTTTTTTAGCAACTTCTAGTTATAATTCTCATGGTAACATTGCTGCCTTTGAGCGTTTCTAGCTTGGCACTGGATTATTATTTGCCTTCACTATCTGCCAAAAATTAGCTGCCTAATTTGTCTTATTCATTTGTTTTCCTTCATTATTTGTCTTATATGCATGATAGTATACCTCCTCATTCATCTTAGTTACTGTCAATCATGCTTCAAATCTGTTCAATTTCAATTACCAAGCTCTAAAAGCCAATGATAATTCATTGAGGATCATGGTGTGGTAACCGTAGTTTCATGATCCAATTCTTGAGTTAGGTGTAATGCATATTTCTCTCTCCCTAAAATTCCTTTTGTTTCTAGCTTCATTTGTCTTTGACAATTCTAATATTGATTCTCTTACAAAATTTACCATCTAGAGTTCCATCCAATAAGAATGGAATGAAAATAATTAATGTAATACATAAATTTATATAGTGGAGGTACTTTTCCACCCCAGCTTGTATAACTGTTAATAAATTAAACCATAATCAATTATATATATAATAAAAGCATATGCATGGAAAAAACACAGTCAATCTAAATCAACCAATTAAAAAGTCTAAACCCTCACATTAGGTATTTCACCCTTGAGCCACCGGAACATTGTGTCTCACCCTTAACCTACCCCACAGCCCATACACACCTGTATTTAATTAAAAAAGGTTATCCTTAATTCCTAATTATACTCAAACTGTATATATCCTTCATACATCCTTATATATCTACTATAAATAATGGAAATCCTGATGCTGCACAAGAAGCTAATGTAGTAGTTTTGTAGAACAATTGTTCAAATATGCCTTTGACGCACACTTTGAGATACCAGGGCTCATGATTTCAAAGGAGAACACCAGGGATGAGCCGGGTGACTATTTCGCAGAATAGAAGCAAGCTGTGTATGAGGAGTCATGGGTCTCCGGTGTTCCCTTTACTGTTTTGGAACTGCTGCAGATTCGTTTTGTGAGCTTTGGAAGGGCAAAAGCCAAAAGAGAATCAAATGTTTAGTATAATTTATGGTGTTTTGTGGTGTCTGTGGTCAGAAGACTCAGAGAAGGATAGCATAATTTATCAAGAACATAGGGTATAATTTCTTAATTACATCCTTTGTAGCCTAAGGCAGCTGGGGCTCTCGCACTTAATGTGTTGGAGAAATTCAATGAAATTGAGTTAATTTGTATTTTTGTTTCCTGGTTCTTTGAGGACCATTTTTCCTTTATTTTAAGGTCCATGATATCCACAATGCTTCTATCTAGGTCTCACACGAGCCACCAGCTCCTTTCATTCTTTCAAGCAACGTATCACATCTGAAAAAGATGCTTAACAGTTTACATGCAACAGAGCTTCCCAATGCTACTGCAATTCCGCATTCCATAGCAGCCCACCCACAGAACTTGGATTCTCCAAATTATCTTTCTCAAAACCTCCAAAACACCACAACTATATTGCACTTATTGTGCTCGTGCCCTAACAGATGCAGATAATAGAGACCTAAAAAGGAGTAGAAGATCCATAATATATGGTTTTAATTATAGATTTAAAATGTGGAGTGGAATTAAGTTTTGAGGAATCTTTCAGTAGGAAAGTTTATCCATATACTCTTGCAACAACAAAAACAACAGTGTAAGAATCTTGCTTAGTATATATTTATGTTGCCTATAGCCTTTATATGCTGATTTTTCCATGAGAACCCTATATATTAGAGACCCATAGTTAGTCCTTATCTAGCAGGAACATTTTGGGGATCTTATAAATTGTAATCTTCTAACTGTAACAGTCTGTTGGAAACAAAAGACCTTATTGGGTCTGGTATTGTTGTTCACTTTATCTAATAACTGTGGCTCATCCATTATTACATGCTTTGATGTGTTCTATCTAAGGAATAACTGGAAGCTGTATGTGGGAGAACAGGGGTGCAAATATATGTTTAGTATTGGTTGGTAACTGGAACTCCGCCAGTGGGTTTTCCACTACCAGTTCCTGGATAAAGGAGGAGGGTTACGGTAGTCCCTGTATAAAGGAGGAGGATTACGGTAGGCTGGTGACAGCCAGTGTAAAACTTTGTCACATCGCTTGAAATGAGCCACAATGATTGAGAGTAGTACTAGGATGGGCTACCTCCTGGGAAGTCCTCATATTGGTTCATGTAGCCGACCCCACTAATGGGATTAAGGCGTTCAAGCAGAAGAAAAAGAAGATTGGTTGGTAACTGGAAGGAAGTGGTAATTTTTTGCATGAAAAGTTAAATGCTACACCATTACTTGATTTATCTGGTTTGATCGTAGTGCCAAAAATTGGAGGTTTAGAAGTATTGTGATTTGAGGTGCATGAATTCAGCGAAAATAGGCTATTGCATGTTTTTTGTGTGCTATCTCTATTAGCCTCATTGTTCAAGGAATATACTCAATTGTGATTTGAGTTTGGCCCTTTGAAACCATTTTAAAGATGGAGACTGTGTAACTCCGAAATCCTCTGGAATATCAGCAAGTGCATTGAATTACTTAAAGAGGCAAAATGGTAGGAAAGCCTTGTGAGCTGGGACTGGTTGTTTGTATGGTTATCCCTTAGGCTATGTGGATGGAAAGGAATGGATGCATCTTTCTGACCAGGTATTGATGTTGGGAGTCTTTACCGAAATGAGTGGTGTTCTCTCTCTCTCTCTCTCTCATAAGCACAATTTATCTTATTTGAATCGAAAAACTAAAGATAATTTTTATATTTTCAAACTACAAAAGGATATCGTGTTTAAACACGTCGCTTTGAAGAGTTAGGAAACCCGCTAACATATCTTGGAACCCAACAGTAAGATTTGGTCCCAAGTCCCTAATCATTATTTTATGACAAGACTAGTACTAACAATTTGGATTTTGGAAACCCTTTAAAGAATTATAGAGAAATTATCAGTGCACTAACAACCACTTAACATAAAATGGTAATATTTGAAGAGTCTAATGAGGATCAAATTCCTATTAAACATCTGTGCAAGTAACTGAAGTTCTATTGTTGATTTGGGATTGATTTTATTGCAGGCTGAGGCAGCAAATCTTCAGAATGCAGCTTTTCTGAATGCTGTTGTAAAGGTATGATAGATTTTTGTTTTATTTTCACAATTTTCATTGTCATATTACCTATTACTATGCTCATGAACAAACTGGCTTTGCTCTAAGGAATCCTGTTAGATTGTTTATTCTTTGAGTAACTGTTGCAATTTGAATAGCTTCTTATGCTCTTTCTGCAGATATTCTGGAAAATACTTATAATTAAAGTAAATTTCCCTTTCCATTTACGTTAAAGACTTTCTTTTTACTAAATATTACAACATGCTTTTTACTGGTGAATTTGGAATAGAAGTCGTATGCTTTAACTTGTTACTCTTTTGCTGTTTTATGTTTGTTATGTGTTCTGTACTCATACTACATCCAATTATTAAGTCGTATGCTTTAACTTGCAACTCTTTTGATGCTTTATGTTCGTTAGGTGTACTGTACTCATACTGCACCTGATTATTCTCTTCCCTGGCAAAAGCAAAGACAATATACTAGTACTGGAAGGTATCTTTTCTGCTATTGGTACCCCTTTTCGCCTTCCTCCCAATTAAAATTTTAATGATATGAACTTAGAAAGTTAGAAGACTGTATGCAGTGCTTTCATGATAGGGGATGGAAAGCTCTTGACAAATGCGCATTGTGTTGAACATTACACACAGGTGAGCTCAGTTTATAACTTTATATGATTTTTAAAAAGTCCTTTATCTTTCATCAACTCTTCCGGTTTTATCTTAAAAAGATGCAGCTTTTTATGTCTTCTTGCTATCTTAGTTTTTTTTTTTTTTGAAGGGAAGACCATGTAAGCTTGACATTGACTTAATTGTATTTTTTACCAGAATTGGGTAGAGTTGCAATAAGAGAGCATATGTTGCAATTTGACTAAATATTGTATCTGACCTGGTTATGTTCTTATTTTGTGGTTAATGAATCTCACAAAGAGCTATACTTGAAAGCTTTGGAACATGATGATGTCTCTTTGGATCAATCTGGTGGCAGCAATGAAATGCTTGCATGTCATTGTTTGTTAAGTATCTTGATCATATTCTGATTGATATCCCCACCTTTTCCTTATCTATAGCCAGGTTTCCATTTGCCTAAATTATTCAGTTTGGATTATCCATGAGCTGTGAATAATACTTAGGTCATTGTTTGTTAAGTACAGTACCTTAATCATCTGTTCTGGCACTTCAGGTTTCCGAGAGCTTTAGTTTATTGCATGACTAAATGATTGAGAAAGAGAATGAAGACAGTTTGTGTTTAGTTTTGAAGAGGCAGAGATTTTCAAACTAATTGAGTTTTAAGAAATCACCAGACTAAAACAATAGACATTCATTGTGCTTTAATCATGCATGGAACTAAGGATGATAAAAGAAAGAAATGAGATTGACCTGGATGAAATGGCAAGTAGTGCACGTGTAAGCTACTACTCTTTTACATAATAACCTTATATCCTGTCTTTATCTGAATTTTATCGCCTCCTAAGCCCCTTTCACATGCATCACACGTGTGCGCATTTTTAAATTTAGCCTGCTTTATTAGACGGCCAACAACTTTTTGGGGTTTGTTTTAGCATTTTTAGAATATTTGTTGATTATTGATATTGATATCATTTGTCGCAAGTAATATTATAAAAGTAATCTACTAATTAGTCTTTCTAATTTTGTAATTATGTGTGTATGTGTTTTTTTCCTTTATTTTTAAATTTTTTTTAACATCAACCTACAGAATGAAATAGCTGCATCTTGTGGTTACTTTTAAATTTTAAGTAAGTATCTATTCAAGAGAGTTTATAATAGCTGTATTTGTGGAGGCGTGTGTATTTGCTAATCCTTGTTCATGACTCCTCTGTCTATTCTATATTCTTCCTTTATTTTTTAAACACTTTTGGCTGTTCATTCCCATTTCTCATTCACTCTTTTGGTTTCTTCTTCCTTCCTAAATTCCAGAGTCTTGTTGCGTGTGCAATGATCTCATTTACTTGTTGCCAAAATAATTTTCATTTCATATATTACCTTTGTTTTTAAAATGTGGTTTTAAACTTGTTTTGAAATCTTTCATGCTGTGGACATTTATTATTTTTCTTGTTGAGACAGAGCTACATCTTTGTTGGCTTAGATCTCATGTATATAGAAGGAACATTTATATATTCCTGCATTGCTTGCTGGGTATTGTCATGCACTCTGTGTAACTGATGAAATGCATCATTCTAGCATGTGTAACTTAATAACTTGACAAACAGACAAATTACTTCTTTTGGCTTTCGCTTGAGGGAATATTATTGCAGGCTTCATCCATTTTGTGTTTGGTTGCCATCCTCCTTGATGCTACTTGACCAATTAAAAGATAATACCTTGAAATTATGTGTCATTCCATGACAGTATGCAACATACTTGCAGCATGTTAACTGAAACTGTCAAGAGGTGTTGCATAATCTGGGGATGTAAATCGAGGCATGAGATGCAATCATTATGTGGGGATTTGCATGTATAGTTTCTTAATATGCTTTCTGACAATTCTGCATTGTTATCTTATAGCACTAATTTAGAAGCTCATAGAATAAGCAAATTCATAAGAAGTCTTTGACTGCGCCGTCCACATGTAGAATCCACTTTTCTGTCATACTGCTTATACAATTTTCACATCTGTACTGCTTTCTATGTAATGCAGGTGAAATTGAAGAGGAGAGGAGATGATACAAAATATGTTGCAAAGGTACAAATTTATTAGCTTGAGATCCTCTTTTATCGGTATTATAATCTCAAATTTTATGTTGTTGCTTAGTGTGTTTCTTCGTGGTCCACTCTAAGAATCAGATAGCATTTCAGCCATTACAATGATATGGCATATAGAGCAACAGCAGTGACCCACCTAAATTTTGTAGTTTCCATATATTCTTTTGAAATGCCTTATAAAGAACTCATTAAGGGCTCTACTTCCGTAGCTTGTAAAAATGGGATAAACCTGTTACTGAATGAATCCAAATAATTTTTTTCCTCCCCCATTGTGGTTGTTTCTTTGGAGCTAAATTATGAAAATATGTTTTGGGAAACTTAACTTTTGACTAGGGCCAGGAAATTTTAGATGAGTTGTCCCTGTTTATTTTAACTTTAAGACACTTCAACAACTTACTTTCCTCTCAGTTCATTTGTACAGGTTTTAGCCAGAGGTATTGACTGTGACATAGCTCTGCTTTCTGTGGAAAATGAGAAGTTTTGGAAAGGAGCTGAGCCACTTCTTTTGGGTCGGCTACCGCATCTGCAGGTGCAATTTTTTCTCCCCTTAACAATGTAACACAATCCTTTTTTAAATACTTTCTGTGGGAGATCCATGTATAAACTTTTCTCAATGGTTGTAAACTTAAAAAGCTATGCTGGATCTTCATTCCAGTGCAAACAACACTTAAAATTACGTATTTTTGGCCTATAACTACTTATAAGAAAGCAAATGGACTCCTTTTGAAAGCCAGATCCGACTTTTTGATCAACCTTATAATCTGTCTGACTATGTGACTCAGTATGATACCTTTATTTTAGGTCCCAAGGCTTGTTGATGTGTTTGTGAGTTCTTTGGACTTATATATATTTATATAACAAATACCTATTGGATGAAATAATTAAAAATGGGTGTCTAAATTATAGAAAGTATTTGGTTTGAAATGAATGTAATATGTAATTACTATTTCAGATAATTATACTCTATCCTTTCTATAGAATGGGGGCAAGAATTTTTGGTTTGAATTTATTTGTTTAGTTCAACTGATAAATAGGGTTTAAAATGCGCTGATATAAGTGAGATATTAGTGTAACATCTTGCAGAGGAGCAACCTTCTGAGGATTGGCTGAAAATATTCCATAGCTACTGAAGTAAAAACAAGGACACCATCTATATCTTTTCTTTTTTAAAAAAAGAAAACTGTGTTGACCACGTAGCACCTTTCCTAGTGCAATGGCCTTCACTTCAAAGTTACTAACTTTGGCAACACAAAGCCTGAAACCTGTGACATCAAGTATAAATTGCAGAGACTTATCGACTACAATCTTATGGCTTCTCTTCTCATATATGAAAATGATATTATTGGGTCTTAATGTACTCTATAGATTACATGTTCAATTTACACTGATAATAAGTACTCCCTCCGTCCCTTTAAGTTTGACCCTTATGGCCAAAATTTAGTCCCAAAATGATCATCCCATTTGCATTAAAATACTCTACAATTTGCAACAATATTAATGCAAAATTAGGTTCCTCATGTAAATTTTTCTTTCCCATGTACTTTTATTACTTCCTCTTTCTACTTTTTTGCAAACCCCATGTATATTTCACTTTCCAATGTACTTTAGCTACTTCTTCTTTCACTTTCTTAATTCCCATGAAAATTGCCCATAAGGTCGAACTTAAAGGGACAGAGGGAGTACAAGATACCTTATTTCATTCTCTTTACTAACATATTTCCACACCAAATTGACACTAGTCATAAATGAACACGATAATTGTCCACCACTTACCAAATGTAGGGCATGCATGCTTGAGGTATTTCCCAAACCAGCCATAGTGTGTGTGTGTGCTTTTTTTTTTTTTTTTTTTTTTTTGTTTCGATGACAAAACCAGTCACTAGTTAGTCTTGAATATATCGACTTTTCTACACATTGTAATTCAAGACAACATTATATGTGTGCAACAAGACACAGACAAGTTTTTTGTTTCGCTTGCATGTAAAGGACACAAAGAAAGAATTTCATAGATGTGTAGGAACTACTTTCTAAATAATAAATTATCTTTAATGCTTACCTTTCATATTATCGCTTTTAAAAGTAACAATAACTGCAACTGTACATTAGGCTTGATTTCAAAGGCTTGGGAGAAGATAAATTAAAGTCAATGTTATTATTATTGTAATAAATCACAGTTATCAAATTTATTCAACTGTAAGTTTAAGTCTTGTGTTTGGTACTTTCCAACCTGTATGTTGGTCATTTGGTTCCATGGGGTTTCAAGAGCCAGTTGTGAACTGCTTCTGCTTGTTTGTGTGTTGGAAATGAACAAGTGACCCGGTATGCAAAGATTTAAGCGCTTAACTCATACTTGAGTGTCCCAATGCTGTTCTTATTTTTAAATAACCATTGAAAATCCTTCCCAAATCTATCAAGTGTATATAATTATTTTGGGAGTATAAGAATCAAGTGTTTATAAAGTTACAAAGAAATAACCAAAAAAAAAAAAAAAAAAATCCTAGTCCAATTAGTGAGGTTATTGTACAAATAGCTATAATTGTGAGCAAATTGTTTCATTTGCACTTTTAGTGGTGTAAACAAATAATTATAAGATGATGAGATGATCTGATGAAAATTCTGCATTGACTGTTGAGCCTTGTTGTAAATGGTTGAGCAACTCACCCAGAAGGATTAAATACTTGATGAGCAAGAATGTGTGAATAGTTTGATATATAGTCTAAGGAATTCGAGATATAATGTCTGAATTTCCATTTGAATGGATGGCTATAAATTTAGGTGAAAAAATTTGGTATTTCTTGCTGTCAATAGAATTATGATAGTATCTAGAAATAGCATCTTAAAAAGCATGGTAAAGAAATATAATCTATCAATTTATTTTTCCTTTAGATTATTGCAAACTAATTATGATGTGGCCATTTTCATGGGCAGGATTCAGTCACTGTTGTAGGATATCCCCTTGGAGGAGATACAATTTCTGTGACAAAGGGGGTGGTTTCACGAATAGAGGTTTGCCTTTACTTTGAAGTATTAAACAAAATATTTTGCTGATGTCTCTCATGTACATCAGTACATATGAAACCTGTTATTATATACTTGCTGATAATCAAAGCATTTCTGTAAAAATCAGTGATTTATATATGCATCTGAATTCTCTTTTTCTATTATGTTTCTAGTTTTACATTCCTTAAGTTCCCACTTTATTACTACCTCCGTTCCATTATGCTGTTCTGAGTATCTGTAACCACACACACCAAATGCTAGAGGGTCCTTTAGTGGACCCATGTGGTGTTGTAAAGGAAAGTAAAATGAAAAGATTTTTCTTTGCCATTAAAAAAATAATGTGAAATTAGAAAACTTTATGGAATCGGCTAAAAGCCTTGAGCAGATAGAGGGAAGAAATTTATGGAATGATGTATGATTTAGATTCTAAAAGTTTTGACGTGCATAATGGAGATAAGTTCTACCTTTTATGAGATATATCATGAACATCTTAAATTTACTCCCCTTGTCTGTATCCTGGTTCAGTATTACTATTACTAAATTCATTATTAATGTATCGCTTCCTTGAAATAATATAGGTTTTGGTTGTATCCTATATACTTAATTGAGCAAGGGAGAGATGATAGGGATGTAAACTTATGTAAGAATGCACTTCCTTTATTTTGAGTGAGTAAGAAGATGTAATTATTGTTATTGGATGGTTGAGTTTATTCTTTGCTTTGCAACCTTATTACTGAAAAGTTGAAATGATTATTATATATCTGGTAAACATTGCTGTCTTTGTACAATGTAGATGGAACACCTCCAGCATAATGTTTCGGTTTATGTCTAGAGTCAAAACTTGCAAGAAAGTAAAATGCTAAATCATTGAGCTTCGTCATATAATTGTTATTATATATCTATATACTGTTATTTCAGATTAGCTTGGTTTCTCAATATCTGCAAGGAGTTTTATTTTCAAATTTGTGAATGTGGCTGCCGAGGAATGAATTCTGCTTGCAATGTGCTACATAATGCTACTGTTTTTCTGTCCTACTTGATGTATGTGAAGGCTTCGAATTTCTTATCTGTTTGTGTTCCAGGTTACATCATATGCACATGGGTCGTCTGATTTGTTAGGTATCCAAATTGATGCTGCTATAAATCCTGGTCAGTAACCTTTTTTTTTTTCTTTATTCCCAAAGCATTTTATACTATTTATAAGTGACGTCAATTATGCATTAAAATCCTTGTACTATTTTACTATTCTCTTGCACTATTCTGTTTCAGGTAATAGTGGAGGCCCTGCATTCAATGACCAAGGGGAGTGCATTGGTGTGGCATTTCAGGTATGGTCTATATAGTTCTTGTGCTTTTCTCATATGATACTATTATTGAGAAGTACAATTACTTTCAATTTAGCAGTGAACATGCATTGACATGTGTTTGGAATTTGGTTAGAGGTGAAGTGCAAAAATCTCAAGTATTGAATTCCGAAGCTGCATGAAAATTTGTATTGACCCATCTTTCTTATGCATGCAACAGTCATGCATTGTTGTTGATTTGATATTTATTAGTCTCTTATATCAGGTACTCAGATCAGATGATACTGAGAACATAGGATATGTGATTCCAACTACTGTGGTCTCTCATTTCTTGGAAGACTATGAGAGGAACGGGAAGTACACAGGTAAGGAAACCTTTTTTTTTGGTTTTCAAATAACAGTTTAAATTTTAGATTTGCATCTGATATTTAGAAATTATGCTTGGTCTGTTATTGGAACCCAAGTCCAAAATATTGTGGCAGTGAACCATTTATTTAAGCCTATTTGTTTCCCTAAAATGACTGGGAATGTAGAGAGGAGTAAACATGGAGAGAAAAGGAGAAAGAAGAGAAGGGAAATTGTATTTCTGGTTGGTTACTATGCGGAAAGTGAAATATAAGTACTAAAGTCCTTCCTGTTTGGATGATGCATAAGAAAACGACTAGGGTACTTTTAAATTTTTGTAGTTTTGAGGTTATTCCTGTCCAAATCTAAATCTGACCAATTAAATGATGGCAATATCAGAGTTTTGTGAACTTTCCCATCAGTTCTATTGCTTTCACTCTTTATTAACATAAACTATATTAAACTGGCCAATTCCATCAGTTTCATTGCTTTCATCATGCCAGAAGGATAGGAAATTTGTGTATCAACTGTCTGTCTTCCTCTCTTTTGCAGTATTACTTGGATAAGGAGTAGCTTTCATGTGAATATTAATTGTTCAGGTTTACAAAAATTATCTTAATCAACTTTGATTCGAGCTGGATCTATTTAATGAATTATTGCATACAATTTCAGGTTTCCCTTGCCTTGGTGTATTGCTGCAGAAGTTGGAGAATCCAGCTCTACGCTCCTGCTTGAAAGTGACGTCTAATGAGGTTGATCTTTCCACCAAGCTATAAGCAATCACTTTTGCTAAGATTTTACACCAAGTGTAGTTTTGTATTATAAATTTAAGATATTTCCTTTCGGAATGACCCCATCCCTCATAGATTCTGCTTTCACCGTGTTGTACATTTGTCATAGAGAAGAAAATAAAACTGTATAGTGCTAGCACTAGTGCAGATATAGTGTTTCTGGTTGCATAATCCTAGTATGACATTTGCACGACATTCAACAGATTATGTGTTTGACATTTACAATTAAATCCCAATTTTCAGGGAGTTCTAGTGCGGCGAGTTGAACCCACTTCTGATGCACATAATGTTTTGAAGGAGGTAAGCTAACTCTTATTTCGAAGGCTGCATTTTCCTGTGGAATTGATTTTTTGCATGAAGTGAAAATGGTTAAAAAAAATATTATTTTAGCCTTAGACATGATCCTGAATGGGTTGTGAGTGAAGATTAGAGTATTGCTATGAGATGGATATGGACTACTTGTTGGTACTCATACTTATTACTGAGTAATTTTAAAGTTGGACATTGGTTTAGGTCTGGGAAGCATTTGCAAGCTGTAATTTAAGGTTGTTTTACCACTAATCTTTTATTAGATTCACTTTTGGATTTTGCTTACTTTAGTGTCAGAGAAAGCAGGAGAATAGGAGATGCAAGAGTGAACAGGGAGAGAACCCTTTAGTTTGTCATCTAGACCATAATTGTAGAGAAATTTCAACATTTTTATACATTGACAATGAGCCTCATAGTGTACTTTCACTTTATAAACCTTGTGTAGGGTTCTCTCAAGAGATAAAACTAAACCTAAACCAATTGGTACTGAATTCGACCTTCCTATCCACACACTGTATATATACAAAACAAAACATTTGAATTTGAGCTTTATATCGTTGTGTATTCAACATGTCTTTGTAGATTACAGCACATTTTTGCTATTAGCTGCTTGTGCTCATGTGTTGAATTTGCTGCTGATCATGGTAGAGTAATGTTTACGAAGAGCTCAACGACAAAAAAACCTTAAAACTGTCAAAACTACAACTATGATGCTAAAAGGAAATGCTATATTACAGGGCGACGTGATTGTGAATTTTGACGGAGTCCATGTTGGCTGTGAAGGAACTGTGCCTTTCCGATCAACTGAGCGTATTGCATTCCGCTATCTCATTAGTCAGAAGTAATTTCACTTTTCCTCTTCTCTATTTTGTTAAACAAATGGATTGCTGGTTTAAGCTTCTTGCAAGTCCTATTTGGCAGAATCATATATCAGAGACTAGCACCTTGCAATTTAGGAAGGTTTCATTTCAATTTGCATTACTCAGTTTCCAGTTCCATTTAGTCACCTTTTTGTATAATATAAATTCTTAATTCCATAAATGTTCAAATTTTGTTATTTAAAAATTTACAGAAAAGTAATATACAGTGTAGTTCTGGTCCTCCACAAAAACCATCAGGGGAGAATTATTGAATCATTGAAAACCAGCTTGAATTAGCTGTTGCCTCATATTGAGACTGTTTGCAGTTAATCTTATAAGTATCTTGGTATAGATTTTCAGGTGATTCTGTAGAGCTTGGCATCATTAGGAATGGGGTTCATATGAAAGTTCAGACAATTTTGAATCCACGTGTCCATTTGGTATGTCTTTATTCGATTTCTTGCCAATGATTTTGAGCAACTTTAATTTATATACTTGTATATATTTTGTTTCATTTGATTTTAATTCCTATACTTCTGATCTTGAAGGTACCATTCCACATTGAAGGAGGCCAACCTGCATATTTGATAGTTGCTGGATTGGTGTTCACCCCACTTTCTGAACCACTTATAGAGTACTATTCTGCTAACTTTACGCTCCATTAGCTTATATTTGATGGCTCAACTTTTAAATGCTAACGAACTGTTTTTTTTTTTTTTTTTTTTCCTTCTTTCTGCATAGAGAGGAATGTGAAGAAGCTATGGGGGTGAGTTAACCCAAGAGAAAAAAATTGCTTTATAAGTATTGTTTAAAAAGTGCATGTTTTCTGTTACTGCGTTTTGGATGTTGAAAGTAGCTAACATCTCCTTTGGTCATTTTGTCAGCTGAAACTAGTGGCAAAGGCAAGATATTCTTTGGCACGATTCAAAGGAGAACAAATTGTGATCCTATCACAGGTAGCTACATTATACAGTATATGTCAATTAATTTTGTGCCGAAGTCTTGCAAAAAAGATAATTAATTCAAGTACCATGTAAGATGACACCAAGAAAATAATTATATTCACAGAAATGGTATTGATCTAATTATATTCTTTCTGCTCAAGGGTTTCCTTTTGGTGCCCTCAGTTTCCAAGTAGAAGATATTAAGTTAATATGCTACATGTAATTAAACATAATAATACTTTACAACAGAGAGTGCAAAGTATTTTAAAAAGCTTTTTTTATGCTTATTGGGAGATTGTGGTGTTAGGTCTTGGCAAATGAAGTGAATATTGGATATGAAGATATGGGAAATCAACAGGTAAGCTCTATCATACGTCCAACAGTCCCTTATTTGTTTTGGGTTTGTATACATAATTTAAGAGTCTGAGATTTACCAACTGCAGGTCTTGAAGTTAAATGGCAAACACATCAGAAACATTCATCATCTAGCTCATCTTGTCGATTGTAAGGACTCAAATTTCTTTCTTAACATTTTGATGCTAGCTAACCTTAAATCTTACATATCTCTATTGTCTATTTCCCAGCTTGCAAGGATAAGTATCTAGTTTTCGAGTTTGAAGATAATTACCTTGTTGTATTGGAGCGAGAAGTAGCTGCAGCTGCCTCAACTTGCATCCTGAAAGATTATGGGATTCCTTCTGAAAGATCTTCTGATCTAATGGAGCCTTATTTGGATAATTTCACAGATAATAGCGCTGTAGATCAGGATATTGGGGATAGTCCTGTATCAAACGAGGAAATCGGATTCGATGGGCTTCTTTGGGCATAATTAGTTTATTCTAGGTTCAAGTTTCAGATATTATCCAATCCCATATGCTCTGATTTTGCCATATATTCATCAATTAGATTTTCCAGTCTTCCAGAGCCCTCTTCCTATTTTTTGAGAGCACAAGGGCAGAGAGGCAAAGGCGAGGTTATTTAGATCATCCTTGTAAATTATTGCTGTAACATTATAATCACCATAATAATAGTAATAGAATGCATTCTTTTTTAGTGGATTGATCTACAATACCAATACGATGCAATGCATGAGACTGTCACAACAATGGAGATAGACGCGGATCAGAAGACGGAAGCTGCTGTTTCAAGGGAGAAAAAACAGGCTCTTGAATGTTGTTGTAATTTGTGCTGTTGTTTTCCTAAGTAGGCTAAGTTTGTATTCAACGATATCAGATACTAAACTCTACAAGTAGTAAATGTTCTGATGTATACCTTAGAGCTCCTTGTACTGGTCTTATAGTACCAATTTTTTGAGCAAGTTCCTTTAAAAAACAATAATTTAGTGTACTGATTTTAAAGTAGAAAGTTAGACACCAATTTTACAATTATACAAGTTGGAGAAGTATTGGCGTATAGGCCCTATGCGTTTTTCATGCAAATAGGATGACATTTTTGTAAATAATGGGAACCCGAGAAAAAGCATTGGTGGAAAATATGATGGCAAAAAGTACCACTACATGCATAATATTATACAAAAAGTACTATTCAGACAACTTATACTATAATGTTACATTTATACATGTATAATAGTACACAAAAATGTACCACTGTACCATTAAGAGAGAGAAAATGCACCGTCGAACTCCAAATTGCCCTCCTATGTGCCTACGAAATACATAGGACTTATGCATCAAGATGCACTCATACAAGTTGGGAAACTTACTTAATCAATCTCTGAAACACCTCCCTCTCTTTCTGCAATGAAGAGTAATTTGGGAAGGTGGGATGTGGATTGATACCTTTAGTGATCTATGCCAATTTCAAGGGGAAGATTTACAACACCTGTTCAAATTTTGCACATCTGCTAGGGAAGCTTGGAGGGGTGAAATTTTACAAATACAAGGGAAATAATTGCATACCGGTCAAAAATTGACTGAATTCTGTACTATGTCTGGCTATTTCAATCCAATCAATTTTTAAGTCAGGATAGAATTAGTGGTCGTAGGACTACTTTCTTTATTATCACACTCTAACAGTTGTGGGTCACTAGGAATAATACGTAGTAGAATTTTTGGGGAGCTAACTAGCAGTCACGTGTCAATGCCGGCTAATATTTTAGAAGGATTAAGGCAACAAAGCTTGTTACTAGCGGACTCAGGGGATAACCTACGATGTCTACATCCTCCAGAGCAAGGCTTGAATCATCCCCCGAGATTTATGCGGGCTATTTTACTAAATATTGGTGGTGCTTTTACAATGCCAATGTTGGTAGACGGTCGTGGAATAATAAACATACACATGGGTCCGGATTGGGGTAATGCCCGAAAACTTTGGAATTTGATATTCAAGGTATGTTTGGGGGAGTGACCCACGGTTGACTCAATCGCCCTTACCTGCAGAGATGAATGCATGTCTTGAAGGTCTTTGGTGGGGAGCAAAATGTTTATTGTAGGTTGCTACAATTTACATGGATTATGTTTTTTTGGTTAGGATGCTTCAAGATAAAATGGTCACAGATGTTAGTTTTGGATAAACGATGGATACTATTCGCCAAACTAAAAGCATCTACAAGGTTCAAAGGTAACGAGTAGACAAGCACAAGGCGCATATCCTCAACCACGACTAATTGTAAATTCTCTTTTTTTAATTATGTGGTTTGTTTGTTTGTTAAGGCTCCTGTTTAAAAAAAAATAAAAAAATAAAAAAAATAAAGCAATTGCAATATTTGTAGAAATGTTTTCACCAAATCCCTTGTTTATTCTTGTAGTTGGGTATTCCCTCCTACTTGGAAAAACAGCCTACTTTATTTATATGAGCTATGTTCAATCGAATTGTATTTTCCATGCGGGTCTTGTTCTTTTGGGCCCATGTGAAAACTTATTGCATTTGGTGTTATAAGGGGCTGACTTTGTTAGAAATAGCTATTGGAGAACCTTCTTAAATCAATATACACACTCACAAACAAAGAATAAAAGGCAGAGAGTGAAGTTATAGTTTTTCTCTTGGAGCTGTCAACGTTTTTTTGCTTGATCGGATGGTTAAAGTTTTCCCAAAAGACTCCAAATTTTGCCACAATGGTCCTGCCATCCCAACCTTTTTATCCAATAGTTAGATTGTTGTTTTGTGCTATCTAAATTAGTATTTTACCTATAGCCCTAAACCCCATTATTTGGTACTTTTACCACTTATTAATGATGTTTACGGAGTTGTATTGCGCCAAGCTTGTTGCTTGATGATTGTATGTGTCCTAAGTGTTAATTAGGGAAGACAATTGTGTTTAGTACCTATAGGCATCGACTGAAGCGCGCTTACTTAAGCATGTTGTGAATATGCTTGACAATCATAGGAATTGGGATTTGATATTATACGATAAGGGATAAAAAGTAGGGAGCCGCCAACAAGTTTTTTAAGGAAATTGTAAACCGTTCACGGATCATTAAAGGCAACCACGAAAAGGGACCATACGAAAGGCAACAATGCATGATTTGATCCATGAAGGTTACACCTATTCATAATCCATGAGACTACTAACTCCATATGTTACAAATCATGAATGAAGGATCGGGGATGATGGTACAACGTTGAGTCATGGAAGTCAGCTTCGCCCGTATTGGCCTCTACTTGATTCTTTTATAGTGAAAAATATTTCTTGCAATTTCAAAGGCATACAAATAAAGATTATATTTGCTCCAAACTAGATTTGGCTAAATTGGTTAAATATTAATGCGCACATAATTCAAAATACTAGTGATCACTTCCATTAAAAATAAGGTAAAGGTACCTAAACCAATTGTCCAATTTATCTTATTAGTCATGATTTCAATTACATTTTTCCATTAAACTTGCAAAAGGTGATAAAAAATACAATAGAATAGACCATAATATTGGAAGCAATTTAGCTATAAAGCATAACAATTAAAATATCAAAATCATGATAAAAAGTGTATAATCTATGTTACTCTTTAAAGGGAACACCCTTTTTTAGTTGGGAATTTTTCCTTTCCAAAAATAACCTTCTACAAAATCTTATTTCCCAGAAAAAAAAAACTTTCATCATAAAAATTTGGTTGTTTTTTTATTTTTTTTATTTTATTATTATTATTATTATTATTATTATTTTTAATTTAACATTTTTTTCTCCCTCTAAAATCTAAAACTGATTATTTATTTTAAAAAAACCCAAACCTTCAACCAGTATATATATATATATATATATATATATATATATATATATATATATATATATATATATATATATATATATATATATATATATATATATATATATATATATATATATATATATATAAAACAACAACTGCCTTAAACAGAATAAATCACCTTATATTTACGATTATCAATTGAAAAGGAGTAGTCAATTCCCTTGATTGTATATATTTCGATAAGTTCCTACTCATTTTTCTCAATAATCTATGTAAAAGGAAAAAAAAAATATACCAACCCCTGATTTCCATATGCACGTTTATCCCTACTCAAAGGAAAAATATATTATCTTTCATTGAATTGAATTTGGTTTATAATCATCCTATCCATTATCTACAAGAAGATTGCAGAAGAATCTAAAGTAAGTACAAGGTATTTACATACATTTTGGATTCAATATATAAGAGAAGTTTTTGCTTGAATAATGATTTCGTGCTTTGTATCGGTGATTGCACACAAGTACCACCCTTTTTCTCCCAAGTGCCATTGTCAAGGTGATTTATAATTTATTTGAATTTAGAAAGTAACTATAAATTTTGGCTACTTTAAACTGTACTTTTTGGCTAACGTCATAGGAATTTTAGTAACAACATTATAAAAAATAAAAAAAAACCCTTTTGTATGGTTACTTTGTATCAATCACGGATTTCGAATCCTTTTAAGTTCCTCTTTTCTCAAAAAATTACTCTGTATGTAGAATATCAATATATCATGTCCTAATATAATTATCTTCTCATGTCCCAATATAAGAGGGGCACCCTCCGTATCTTACTGTTAAAAAAATAAAAATATAGTACTACGCATATTGACATTTTCTTTTAATTCTCCCTCTATTTTAGGTCTTTATTATGTAATTTCTTGGTGTTGATTGAATTTTAACAGGGAGTAATATTTAAAAGTTATTTTTATTGAATTATATTTGGTATTGTTGCCATTAGTTTACACTATAGCCAATTCCATTAGAAGTCTTTTGGGGTTATTTTACGATTGTGAATAAATTGTGAGTTGCTCCCACCTTTTATATCATGTAATTCATGTTATATTCTTCGAAAACCTATATTATTAATCAAACTTTTGTGCAAAGACTATAAGTACATCTTTAAATATTATATTGCTATAAAGAAGGGAGTGTAATAAATGATAATTTGGCAAATAGAGAAGGGATAACTAATTTCAATGTCATAGTGTTTTTTTTTAATCAATATAGTACTTCATATATATAACGTCGTGATAATTTTTTTTTTTCTTATAATTAATATAGTATTCCATTTTACTAAATTTCTTTATTAGTGTCATAAATATTTTAAATGATGTAATATACAAAGAGGAAATATTATTTCTTATATTCAACAAAGCTAATTGAATCAAATCGAAGTCAAACACATTCAAACAAAGCTTTAGAAATCAAATTAAAGTCTTCACATTCAACAAATTTAATTAAATAAAATGAAGGTCAAACACACATTCAAACAAAGCTTTTTAAATCAAATGAAAGCAAAATGCATTCAACAAAGCTAATTGAATCAAATCAAAGTCAAACACATTCAAACAAAGCTTTTGAATCAAAAGAAAGTCAAATGCATTCAACAAAGCTAACTGAATCAAATCAAAGTCAAACACGTTCAAACAAAGCTTTTTGAATCAAATGAAAGTAAAATACATTCAACAAAGCTAATTGAATCAAATGAAAGTCATATAAACATCATCATCAAGTAAATGCAATTAGAGAGAGAAAGTCTAGAGAGAGAAAGTTTGCGTAAACACATTTTGCGTGGGTTTTAAGCTTGTCTTAGAGCTCTCTCCCATGGCGAAGGCCAAGAAGTGGGGCAAAAAGGTTTCCAACTCAAAATCAAAGAAGAAAAAGAAGAAAGACTCCTCGAATTCGAAGAATTTTTCAAAGAAGGAGAGGGATGATGGTGCCCCTATTGATGGCTCTGTCCAGAGTTGGCTGGAGGATATGCTAGTTGATGAAATCCCAGTTAAGGAGGTGTTAGAGGAGGAAAAGGAGCTTCATAAGACTCAATTTCAGCAATGGTTGGAGGTAATTCACTACAACTCCCCCATTATTGGTAGCAGGGAATTGCAGGATGAGAATGCTAATGGTGATTGCTCTGTCAATCGCAATACTTCGAATTCTGCTAATCCAACCCCAATCATGATGGTATGTGATAATCTTGATGATAATCTCGATAACAATTTGGATCCTATTTCTGTAATTGGTGATGTTATTCAAACCCCCAATTTGAGATGCCTTGTTTTTGGTGAAAAAAGTAATGAGAGTTTTCTGGGTCATTCTTGGAGAGATAAGGTCCGAAACTTTTCAGATGATCAATTAAGCTTTAACTGTGATGGAAATCATTCGAATCTTGATAATAGGGAGAGTAAAGGGTCTGGTGTTTTGAAATTGAGTATGGAGGATGTAAGCCGTGAAATTGATTACTGGAATTCTGCGATTGTTTGTTATGTGTTGTGTGATAAACCATCTCTATATGTCTTTTCTGGATTTTCTCGAAGAATGTGGGGAAGATTTGGGATAGAGAAGGTTTGTGCGATGAATAATGGTATTTTCATGGTGCGATTTAAAGATGTTGAAGGGATGGAGAGAGCTATGTTAGCTGGGCCTGTTGAATTTGATAGGAAGCCAGTAATTATGAAGAAATGGACTCCTGGTTTGAATTTGAAAGAAGAGAAGATAGACTCAGTGCCTGTTTGGATTCGATTGCATGATCTGAATCTGAAATTTTGGGGGCATTCGACATTAATGAAAATAGGTGGCCTTGTGGGTAAGCCTGTTAAAATGGACAGGGCTACTGCTATGAGGGAACTGATTGATTATGCAAGGCTCCTAGTTAAAGTCAAGATTGATGGAGATTTGGTTGAGAAGATAACTTTCCTGGATGAAAATGGGGTCCTGATTCAACAATCTGTGAGTTATGAATGGAAGCCAATAACATGCGTGAAATGCAAAGGAATGGGGCACATGGCTGACCAGTGTCAAGGTAATAGGAAGTTTGGGGCCAAGGCTAAGAGCATACCTGCTCAGGGGAAGAATGATGGGAGACAAGAAGTGAGGCAAGAGGTAAGGAAAGTATGGAGGCCAGTTGTGAAGACTAGTGTAATATCAGATAAGCATCCTGATAGTAATCATACCTCTGGCTTTGTTAATCCAAGGCTTACTTCTTTTACCAAACCAAATGATAGGAATGATAATAGGGGTGTTGGCATTATGGGAGGGAGATTCTCTCCACTTACTGGGATTGATGAGGAGATTTAGAATAACTGTGAGGACATGGAGAAAGAAGATCAGTCTGAGATAGAGGAATGACAGATGAAGGACAGAAATTGGATGACTATGAGGAATGGTAAGGTGCTATGTGGCAGTGTGGGGGAGGGTGTTTTTAACACTCCCCATGGATAACTTTGGTTTCTGGAATGTAAGGGGCCTGAATCAATATGACAGGATTTGTGATGTTCTATGGTTCCTAGGACATCATAAGATTGGTTTATTTGGGCTCCTTGAGACTAAAATAAAGGCTGCTAAGTTTGGTACAGTCTTTGCAAAGTTTGGTAATGATTGGTCAGTCACTTCTAACCACTCTCAGCATAAGGGGGGTAGAATTTGTGTGATCTGGAGGCCTTCAGTTTTCTATGTAGTAGTTGAGGTTGTTGACAGTCAGTTTATTCATTTGTCAATCCTGCATAAATCCTCAGGGAAACAGTTCCACTACACTGTGATCTATGGTTTCAATGAGGCTAGTAGAAGAGATGACCTATGGGATAAGTTGGTTGTGTTAGGTAGGGGAATAAAGGGAGCTTGGATTGTAGGTGGGGATTTCAATAATGTGCTGAACTTGGATGATAGAATTGGTTCCAGCGTAACTTTGTCTGAAGTTGAGAAATTCAGGTTGTGTATCAGGCAGAGTTAACTGAGAGAGTTAAAATGTGGAGGTCAGTTCTACACTTGGAGCAATAAACAGGATGGGGCTGATAGAGTTTGTTCAAAAATTGATAGAGTTGTTGGGAATGATTTCTGGATTAATAATTTTCAGAATAGCAAAGTTGATTTTTTACCTGAAGGCTTAATGGATCACTGTCCATGTGTGATCAACTTTCTTGATCAAGTTGGTAGTGGGAAGAAGCCTTTTAAATTCTTTAATGTCTGGCAGATTGTGCTGATTTTAGTAGGATTGTGAGGGATTCCTGGCAACAGCCAAGACAAGGAACAACTATGTTTCGAGTTGTGCAGAAACTGAAGGATGTTAAGAAGGAGCTCAAAGTTTTAAACTATCAACTCTTTCCTACTGTTGAAGATGATGATACTAAGGCTGCTCTAGGTTTACAGGAGATCCAAATCAAGCTTAATGCAGATCCTCAAAATGAAGCTTTGATTTCTCAGGAAGCTGAAGCTAGGATACAGTTCAATTTAGCTCACAATAAAAAACTTAAGTTCCTGAGACAGAAGGCAAAAGCTCTGTGGCTTAAGGAGGGGGATATGAATTCAGCATATTTTCATGCTTGCATAAGAAAACGAAGAGTACAGAATAGTATTTTTAGCATTCAGAAAAATTCAGGAGAGGTTGTTTAGGAGCCTGCTGCTATTGCTGATGCTTTTGTTGAGTTTTACAAAAACATGTTGGGTTCTGCTTCTGTACCAGATAGAACTATTCATATGAGTGTGATTGTTGAGGGACTTGTTCTTCTCTCTAAGAAGAAAGTTCACTTATGCAGAAGTTTTAGTAGAGATGATGTACAGAAAGCTTTGTGGAGCATTGATGAGGACAAGGCTCCAGGGCCTGATGGTTTTTCTAGTAAATTCTTCAAAGCAGCCTGGAATTTTGTAGGAAATGATGTGACTGATGCTGTGTTGGATTTTTTTACAACAGGGAAATTACTAAAACAGGTTAATGCTACTTAGCTCACTCTGATTCCTATGATTGAAAATGCTTCTCATGTGAGTCAATTTAGACCAATTGCTTGCTGTAATGTGATATACAAGATTATTTCTAAGATGTTATGTGAGAGGTTGAAGGAGGTTCTGCCTGGGATTATTGATGGGGTACAGGGACCTTTTATTAAAGGGAGGTCCATTCTTGATAATATTCTGGTATGTTAGGAGATGTTAAAGGACTATAATAGCAAGAGGAAATCTCTTAGATGTACTATGAAGATTGACCTAAGGAAAGCTTATGATTCAGTCCATTAGATTTTTATTGAGGACATGCTTGTGGGGCTTGGTTTTCCTGATAGATTTGTACAATGGATCATGTGCTGTGTTAGCACACCAGCTTTCTCTATTATGTTGAATGTTGGAATACATGGTTTCTTTCAAGGGAAAAGGGGAATTAGACAAGGTGACCCTGTTTCCCCATTATTATTTGTGATTGTGATGGAATATCTCACCAGATTGCTGAAGAAGATTGGTAAAATGAGAGGTTTCAGGTTTCATTCCAGATGTAAGAGTATTGGGCTGAATCATTTAGTCTTTGCTGATGATTTGATGTTGTTCTGCTATGGGGATCATAAATCAGTTGAATTGTTGATTAGAGGCCTCAAAACTTTTGAGAAATGTTCAGGTCTGATGGCTAATACAGACAAATCAGCTATTTACTTTGGTAATGTCCCTGCTCCTGTTCAGACTCAAATCACCAGGACCTCTGGTTTCTCTGTAGGCAAGTTTCCTTTCAGGTACCTGGGTATTCCTCTTAATGCAAGATACTTAAAAATTGCAGATTTTGATAGCCTAATTGACAAGATGCTTGCTAAAATCTCATGCTGGTCAAGTAGACATCTCTCATATTCTGCAAGAACATTACTTGTTAACTCTATGCTACTAAGTTTGCACACTTACTGGGCTCAGTGTTTGCTTCTCCCTTCTGGTGTTATGCATAGAATAGTTCAATTATGTAGAGCTTTTTTGTGGAGTGGTGATGCAGTACTAAAGAAGACCCCCCTCTAGCTTGGGACTGGATTTTTAAACCCAAAAAGTATGGTGGCCTGGGCATTAGAAATTGTATCAACTGGAACAAAGCTGCAATGGGTAAATATGTATGGAAGATTGCAATGAAGGAAGAATATCTTTGGGTTCATGCAGTTTATATCAAGGATTAGGATTGGCGGAGTTATTCTCCAAAGAAATCAGGTGGTTGGGCCTGGAAGAAACTATGTGTTGTGAAGGAGGAATTGAAGTTTGGCTTTGAAGAAAAGGGGTGGCTTGATAGCAGCTATAGAATTTCAGCAGCTTATGTTTGGCTGCAGGGAAGTATGACTGAAGTTGGCTGGCATAAGTGGATTTGGAATTCTTATAATGTTCCAAAGCATACTTTTATTTCTTGGCTAGCTGTTTTGAACAGGTTGAGGAATAGAAGTATCTTAGCATATATAGGGGTCTGTGATGACCCAATCTGTTTGCTGTGTGGTCAGGAAGAAGAAACCAGAGATCACCTGTTTTTCAAGTTCCCCTACAGCAGGAAATGTCTGTCTATGATTAGCTCGTGGCTTGGAATTCAAGAACAGCTATTCTCCATTGATGATACTTGGATCAGTTTGAGGGAACAGGTTGAAGACTCTATAAAAAAGAGATGTGTTCTGGCTGTTCTAGTTGCTGTAGTATATCATATCTGGATGGCTAGGAACATTGCATACTAGAATCAAGTACTAATTCATCCTAGGTTTATTTGTAAAGCTATACAGTTAGAGATAGTCAATAGAATCAGGAAATTTGTAGATAGCCATTGGATTAGAGAGCATTGTAAATGGTTACACCATTTAAGTTGTAATCCGTTTTACTTAGTTTAGCTAGTCTAGGTTTTTTTTTTTCTTAGACTAGTTTGGAGTTAGTTTGACCTGTGGGCTCTGTGTAGTTGTATTTGGAGTCAGGGTTTACCCTCTGTTTGGTTTTTTTTTTTGCCGGCTTTTGTGTCTTTTCCCCGCTTCCTTTGAGGAACCCTTCCTAGAAGGTGGCCTCTTTCAGGATAGGGGTGAGAGTTTTTGTACTTTTGAGGGCTTGCCCTCTCCCTTTTTGGTATTAATAATACTTTGCTTACTTACCAAAAAAAAAACGAATCAAGTGAAAGTCAAACACATTTAAACAAAGCCTTTTGAATTAAATGAAAGTCAAATGCATTCAACAAAACTAATTGAATCAAATGAAAGTCAAACGCATTCAACAAAGCTAATTGAATTAAATGAAAGTCAAATGCTTCAAAAAAGATAATTGATCAAATCAAAGTCAAACACATTCAAACAAAGCATTTTGAATCAAAAGAAAGTCAATGCATTCAATAAAGCTAATTGAATCAAATGAAAGTCAAATGCATTCAACAAAAAAGCTAATTGAATAAAATGAAAGTCAAACACATTCAAACATATTTTTTTGAATAAAATGAAAGTCAGATGCATTTTACAAAGCTAGTTAAATAAGATGAAAGTCTAATGCATTCAACAAAGCTAATTGAATCGTATGAAAGTCAAACACATTCAAACAAAGCCTTTTAAATGAAATGAAAGAAGAATGCATTCAACAAAGCTAATTGAATCAAATTAAAGTCAAACACGTTCAAACAAAGTTTTTTTAAATCTAATGAAAGTCAAGTGCATTAACAAAGCTAATTGAATCAAATGAAAATCAAACACATTAAAATAAAGCTTTTTAAATAAAGTGAAAGTCATTTGCATTCAAGAAAGCTAATTTAATCACATGAAAGTCAAACACATTCAAACAAAGCTTTTTAATTTAATGAAAGTCAAATGCATTCGACAAAGCTAATTGAATCAAATGAAAGTCAAATGCATTCAACTAAGCTGATTGAATCAAATAAAAGTTAAATGTATTCAACAAAGCTTATTAAATCAAATGAAAATCACACATTCAAACAAAGCTTTTGAATTTATTCAATGTCAAATTCATTCAACAAAGCTAGTTAAATCAAATGAAAGTCAAATGCATTTAACAAATCTAATTGAATCAAATGAAAGTCAAACACATTCAAACAAAGCTTTTGAAATCATATAAAAGTCAAATGCATTCAACAAAGCTTATTGAATCAAATCAAAGTCAAACACATTCAAACAAAGCTTTTTGACTCAAATGAAAGTCAAGTGCATTCAAAAAAGCTAATTGAATCAAATCGAAGTCAAACCCATTCAAACAAAGCTAATTGAATTAAATAAAAGTCAAACACATTTAAATAAAGCTTTTTGAATTAAATAAAAGTCAAGCACATTTCAACAAACCTAATTGAATCAATTGAAAGTCAGGCTTGGTGTGCTCCTGTTGTTGGGACCGAGATGTTTAAGGTAGTGAAAAGGCTTCAAAAGGTGAAGGGGGCTTTGAAAAATCTGAATGTGAGCCAATTTTCTTCAGTTGAGACTGATGATGTTGAGACAACTGCTGCTTTGACTGAGATTCAGATGAAGCTAAATGTTGATCCGTGCAATAAATAACTTATAGCTGATGAAAAGGCTGCTAGGGACAGGTACACCAAAGCTCATGCTGCTAGATTCTCTTTCCTTAAACAGAAAGCTAAGCTACATTGGCTTAAGGAGGGAGACTTAAATTCTGCCTATTTTCATGCATGCTTAAGACAGTGAAGAGCCCATAACAGGATTAGTGGAATCCAAGTTCATGATGGCAGTGTTGTTCAGGACCCTGATAGTGTAGCTGACTTGTTCATTTCTTTTTATAAGGGCCTTCTTGGAACTCAAAAACCAGTTGAATGTTGTTTTCACCCTGCTGTCATCTCTGAGGGGCCTGTTTTGACTGATGATCAGAAGTCCAGTATTTGTAGAAGTTTTGAGGTGGATGATGTGAAGAGAGCACTTTGGGAGATTGATGATAATAAAGCACCTGGTCCGGATGGATTTTCTAGCAAGTTTTTCAAGGCTACTTGGAGCATAGTTGGGTCTGATATTTGCAAGGCTATTCTAGGGTTCTTTGATCATGGTCAGCTTTTGAAACAGGTAGGAGCTTCTACCCTAACTCTTGTCCCTAAAGTTGAAAGTGCTTATCAGGTGGCTCACTTTAGGCCTATTGCATGTTGCAATGTAATCTACAAAATCATTTCTAAAATGATTTGTTCAAGGCTAAAGGAAGTACTCCCTAGTGTGATTGATGATGTTCAGGGGGCCTTTGTTTCGGGCAGATCTATCTTGGACAATGTCCTTATCTGCCAAGATATGTTGAAAGACTATGGAAATAAGAGGAAATCCTCGAGATGTACTATAAAGGTTGATATTAGTAAAGCTTATGACTCAGTTAGTTGGAGCTTCATCAAGGATATGCTGGTCTGTTTGGGGTTCCCCGCTGAGTTTGTGCATTGGGTTATGGCTTGTGTTACTTCTCCTGTTTATTCCATTTTGATGAATGGGGGAATGTATGGCTTTTTTAAAGGTGAACGAGGTGTGAGACAGGGGAATCCTATGTCACCTTTACTTTTTGTCAATGTCATGGAGTACCTTTCTCGATTATTAAAGAAGGTGGGTGAAAAGAAAGGGTTTAAGTATCATTACAGGTGTAAACAGCTGAAATTGAATCATCTAATCTTTGCTGATGATTTGATGATGTTTTCTCACGGGGATATGCTTTCAATTTCTTACTTGACTAGGGCTCTTGTAATGTTTGGTAAGGTTTATGGTTTGCAAGCTAACCTAGACAAAACTGCAATCTACTTTGGAAATGTAAGGGATGAAGTGAGACATACTGTTTTGAGCTCTTCTAGTTTTACAGAGGGTCTATGCCTTTTAGATACTTAGGCATTCCCTTGAATGACAAGTACTTAAAAGTTGGTGACTTTGATAGGTTAGTGGATCAGATGTTGGCTAGGCTTACCAGATGGTCTAGCAGGAACCTATCTTATGCAGCTAGAGCCCTCTTGATTAACTCTATCTTAATGAGCCTTCACACCTATTAGGCTCAGTGTGTTTTGTTTCCTAAAACTGTCATTCACAGAATAAACCAACTGTGTAGGGCATTTTTATGGTGTGGATCTGCTACTTTTTCCAAACAGCCCCCTATTGCCTGGAACTGGGTGTGTAAGCCCAAGAATTGTGGAGGCTTGGGAATTAGAGATGTGGAACAGTGGAATAAAGCAGCCATTGGAAAACTGATTTGGAGGATTGCTGGAAATAAAGAATCTTTATGGGTTAAATGGGTTCACAATGTGTATCTCAAGAATGAGGATTGGTGGACCTACACTCCTAAGAAGGCTGATGGTCATACTTGGAGAAAAATCTGTGCAATCAGATGAGTTAAGGGAGGGGTTCTCAGCTGAGAACTGGCAGAGTCTGGGTTACAAAATCTCAGATGGTTATAGATAGCTGAAAAGAAATTATGTGAAGGTTGTGTGGGATGACTGGATCTGGAATAAATACAATATTCCCAAACACTCATTTATCACCTGGTTGGCTATTATGAATAGGCTAAGAACAAGAGACGGGGTTAAAAAATTTTATGCTTGTGATACAGCAAATTGTCTGCTATGTGGTGACCACATTGAAGACCAGAAATATCTCTTCTTCAAATGTTCTTATAGCAGGAAGTGTATCCAAATTGTCAGTAACTAGCTACATATAAATGAGACCTGGTTTGATATTGACGCTTCATGGAAGCATTGGAGAAGAGCTAATAAAGACCCTGTTAAACAGAAGGTGAGTCTTGCTATTTTGTCACCTTGGTATATGGAATTTGGGCTGCAAAGAACTTTGTGTTCTGGAATAAAGTTGTTATCATGCCTAACAGATTATGCACCAACTTATGTGTGGAGGTGGTAAATAGAGTCCAACAGCTTATTAGTAGTAAATGGAAAAGGTCTCAGTGTAAATGGTTGTATGTAATTAGGAATAGTATTCCTAAGTAATTCTTTGTTGTTTGTTGGGTTGTTTTGAACTTTTGGTGTTGGTTTGGCCCTGTTTTAGGGTTGTGTAGTTTTGTTGCGAGGGCTTGCCCTCCTTTTGGTAATAAAATTTACTTACTTACCAAAAAAAAAAGAATCAAATGAAAGTTAAACGCATTCAACAAAGTTAATTGAGTCAAATGAAAGTCAAATGCATTCAAAAAAGCTTACTGAATCAAATCAAAGTCAAAAACATTCAAACAAAGCATTTTAAATCAAATGAAAGTCAAATGCATTAAACAAAGCTAATTGAATCAAATGAAAGTAAAATGCATTCAACAAAGCTAATTGAATCAAATCAAAGTCAAATACATTCAAACAAAGCTTTTTGAATCAAAAGAAAGTCAAATGCATTCTTCAACAGAGCTAATTGAATAAAATGAAAGTCAAACACATTCAAACATAACTTTTTGAATCAAATGAAAGTCAAATGCATTTTACAAAGCTAGTTAAATCAAATGAAAGTCTAATGTATTCAAAAAATCTAATTGAATCATATGAAAGGCAAACATATTCAAACAAAGCTTTTTAAATCAAATGAAAGTAAAATGCATTCAACAAAGCTAATAGAATCAAATCAAATTGAAACACATTCAAACAAAGATTTTTTAATCAAATGAAAGTCATTTGGATTCAACAAAGTTCATTGAATCAAATGAAAGTCAAACAATTCAAACAAAGCTTTTGGAATTAAAGAAAGTCAAATGCATTTAACAAAGCTAATTGAATCAAATAAAAGTCAAATTCATTCAACAA